GGCAGTATGAGGCCATCACCAAATCCCTTGATGCTAGAAATCATTCTTATGGCACTAGGCCGACTGCATCGAAGCTGAATACTCTGTACAAGACAGCTACTGTAATGAGCTGTGATCATGATCAGACAGGGCAGGGTCAGTCTCAGACCACCTCTGAATCCAACACAAACACCACAGCTACTGGAATGACCAAGGGTCATGGTAATATAGGGCAGGGCCAATCTCAAGCTAACGCCCAATCTCTCACAGTTGCAAATCTGTCACGTAGCGAAGTGCTAGCTGCCTTACAGCCAAACCCTATGTATGTAGATGTAAAAACACCAACAAAGGATGAAGCGTCTACGGAAATAGCCAGTGGTCATGATCAGACAGGGCAGGGTCAGTTTCAAGCTAATATTCAACATCAGAAAGTGGGGAATTTATCACATAACGAAGTGCTAGCTGCCTTACAGCCAAACCCTATGTATGCAGATGTAAAAACACCAACAAAGGATGAAGCGTCTACGGAAATAGCCAGTGGTCATGATCAGACAGGGCAGGGTCAGTCTCAAGCTAATATTCAACATCAGAAAGTGGGGAATTTATCACATAACGAAGTGCTAGCTGCCTTACAGCCAAACCCTATGTATGTAGATGTAAAGACACAAACAAGAGATGAAGCGTCTACAGAAATAACCAGTGGTCATGATCAGACAGGGCAGGGTCAGTCGCAGGCTAATATTCAACCTCAGAAAGTGGGGAATTTATCACCTAACGAAGTGCTAGCTGCCTTACAGACAAATACCATGTATGCATCTGATGTAAAAACACCAACAAGAGATGAAGCGACTACAGAAATAACCAGTGGTCATGATCAGACAGGGCAGGGTCAGTCGCAGGCTAATATTCAACCTCAGAAAGTGGGGAATTTATCACCTAACGAAGTGCTAGCTGCCTTACAGACAAATACCATGTATGCATCTGATGTAAAAACACCAACAAGAGATGAAGCGTCTACAGAAATAACCAGTGGTCATGATCAGACAGGGCAGGGTCAGTCGCAAGCTAATATTCAACCTCAGAAAGTGGGGAATTTATCACCTAACGAAGTGCTAGCTGCCTTACAGACAAATACCATGTATGCATCTGATGTAAAAACACCAACAAGAGATGAAGCGACTACAGAAATGGCCAGCGGTCATGATCAGACAGGACAGGGTCAGTCTCAGGCTAATATTCAATCTCTGAAAGTGGGAAATTTATCACCTAACGAAGTGCTAGCTGCCTTACAGCCAAATACTATGTATGTAGATGTACAAACACCAACAAAGAACTAAGCGTCTACTACAGAAATAACCAGTGGTCATGATCAGACAGGGCATGGTCAGTCTCAAGCTAATATTCAACCTCAGAAAATGGGGAATTTATCACATAAGCAAGTTCTAGCTGCCTTACAGCCAAACCCTATATATTCAGATGAGAAACTGCCACCAAAGAACCCAATATATACATAAATGGCCAGTGGTCATGATCAGACAGGGTATGGTCAGTAGCAGGCCGTCACTGAATCCTAGGATGCTGTAAATCTATCCCTTGGCGCAAGGCCGACTGCTTTGCAGCTAAATTATCTATAGAAACGCAATGGCTCATTTTCATAATTTTATGCAAAACACCCACAAATATTTGGTCCTACAAATTAAATCCGTGTGGCCTAAATGAACTTTTGACAAGAAAGCAGATGCACTACATTTAGGAACTTTTAGTACCTTGTCCTTTACCTAGTAACACATGCCATCTACAAGAAAGCACACTTCCTCGAACACGGTACATCATGGTTAATTCATTCATCCTGAATGTATTATTCTTTTCTCAGAAGTAGTTCGTTTGTTTTGGAGACATAAAATGTTCTTGTAGTGTGTCGGCAGAATTTTAAAAGAATTACTTAAATTCTAATCTTGTAACATTTCTTGAGAAAGACTTAAAGCTATGTAGAGGTTTCGTAAAAGGTATCTCGCGCACATGTCAAAGATGTAGCTTGGTTGATAATAATGGAAGTTGTAATTGTGGTAATAATTGTACATTTAAGCTACTTAAAGAATCAAATATTAACCCTGTATATTTTTATCTTTAAAATTTCAACAACATTTTTCCAATTTTATTTTTTGGGGCTTAAAATTTGGGGAAGGGTAAAGAATTTTAAAAAGTTAAGGGGATGAGTCTCTCTTAACAATTATAACATTACACAACTTCAGATGTATATTTAATTTCAATTCATAATATGAAAATATAGTCATTGACAAGTAGTATTGGGTTGTAGACAGACGATTGATGCTGTTATCTGCCAAAAGACAAGATGAATATTCTAAGCTCCTCTATCACAGAGTTCAATCTGAATCATTCATGATATATTGTACAAGTTAAATTTCTAAGAGAAAATTTAGTTGCAAAAGTCGTTCCAGGACATTTTTTTAATGAGAGCCTTTTATTGTGTAATATTTTTTTTAAAATTGTACACGAGCCGGATATTAGATTTAACAATCCATACTGTGTAGAAACAGCCATTGTAACAGTTACTGTTATTACTATTATCACGGACCTACCAAGAATAGGGAAAGAGTGTTTGGTCGTTCTGTGTAATGTATAAAATTTATAATTATGGACGATCTAAACTTGGAACTCTAGTAGCAGAGCAATGTAATACAGAAAGTATACAAGGTGTACATTTTCATTTTAAAGGCATCAATGCTAAGGGTTTTTTTCGAAATGAATGTGATTTCGGCGGTAGATTTTCATTTGAATTTAAAGTATTGTAACATTTGTGGTTATAACTATTTCAGAATCTGTATCTTTTTATTAAGGTTGATGTCATTGTTTTATTTTGCAAACTTTAATAGTTGTTCCAACTTAAATGATTACCCTACCAAAAACAGGGAAAGAGTGTTTTGTCATTCTGTGTTTAAGTATACAATGTATAATCATGGACTATCTCAGTCTGGAAGTCTAGTAGCAGAACAATGTACTGCAGAAAGTATAAAGATTTAAAGTTTCATTTTAAAGGCCATCAATGCTCAGTCTGTTTCAAAATGTTTTGTACTTTATTTTCATTCTCAAGCTTTAGTATTGTAACAATTGTAAAACTATTTCAGAATTTGTAACTTTTTTATTATTGATGGTGTCATGGTTGTATTTTGCGATGTTTAACTTTAATAGGTGTTCCAACTTTGATTCTATGATTGATTGCCCTACCAAGAACAGGGAAAGAGTGTTTTGTTGTTCTGTGTTAAGTTCAGAATGTATAATTATGGACGATCTAAGTCTGGAACTGTAGTAGCAGAGCAATGTACTTTATAAAGTATAAAAGCTATACAAATTGATTCACCTCAAAAGGCATCAACACTGATGATTTTTTGGCAAAACAAATGTGACCTTGTCCAGTAATATCGGCTGTATTTTGTTTCATTTCTGTAGTAACTATTGTATCTGTAACTTTTCATCACTAGTGACGTTATGGTTGTAATTTTTTTTTTAAAGAATCATTTTTAGTGTTGTTGTATCTAAGAATCTAGTGAAAAAGTAGTATTTATTTATTATATTTCAGTCATACCATGGTATGGCCGATATACTTTTTTTATATAGTTTTTCTTTATGTTTTTTCTTCTTCTCCTTCTTCTGCTATTACTTTAAATAGTTTCGATTCAAGTTCTTTATTTTGGGGCCAAATGACCTTAGACGTACAATAGCCGTGTATGTTACGATATTTGGCAGTGCGACCATATTAGGGCATGGGGACAAGGGCTTTATATCCAAATATGGGAATGAAGACAGGCATGAAGACAGAAGCAGGTGTTGCTCTGATTGCAGATGGTTTTTTTTCAATTTTGGACTTGGTGATTGTAAAAAAAGTAATTTTTTGTGTGGAAGTGTTTACTAGTAATGAAAGAATTCATTTTGAAGAGATGGAGAGATGAAACTTTTTTGAATAAAGTATTGGACAGGGCTGATTAAACAAAGTGTCCGAATTTTTTGTGTGTCCGAAACTACTTTTGCATAGGTGCTAGTTTGGAGCAGTCCATTTGATGGAGAGAGGTATGACTGAAATATGTTATATTTGCTCCAGAACGATTGCGGCCTTTCTAGTCTTAGTTACGTGTTTGAAGGCCGTTACGTGTTTGAAGGCCACATCAAGGAATGCTGCTAGATTGTAGATTTTTCTCATTAGTAGATAAAGGCTTAAACAAACAACAATTCAAATTAGACCTTGGTTTGCATAGTACATTCAGAATTTCATTACATCACCCGTCATTTCAGCTACCCACATACCAAAAATCATGACAGTCCCTTTCTCAAAATATAAGGCCACACCGACTTAATTTTATGGATGACATCCTCTGAAGACCCCCAAACTAGTGCGCGCGGGCGAATAAAAGAAAATTTCGGCAAAAAATAAAAATGCTACTAAACCACAACTACCATGGACCACCCAGGCCTACAGCCAGCACGTCGGCAGAACGTACCCCACATTTTCACGCTTTTCGGTGGATTTTTGGTCAATGTTGCATTAGAATTTTGCCTGTTGCAGATGATATTTTTTCGGACATAACACTTGGAAACTACAGACGAGATGTTAACCTTATATGCGCGAATACGACCTTATATGAGACGTTCTACCGAAGTGCTATGTATAATACATTACAGGTTTCGCGCAGATGCAGTACGTTCTGCCGACGTGCCCCTAGAGCCAGGCCGGAGCCTCAGTGGACGTGATGACTTTTTCTTTTCTTTTCTTTTTTTTTTTTAGAACAAGCGAAAATCAATGCGGGCGCGGATGACATCCATAAAATTAAATCGGTGTGGCCTAACCAAGGAAACAAAATTCTCCCTGCTGTTCCGAAAAAGCTACTGGGGGCCCAATTCTATACCACCTCTTCACAAGTTGTATTGGTTTGGGCATACATTCTACCATAGAATGCACGAAGTTGCTAGTTTTAATACAATTATGATTGAAAGATTTGAATACATACTGGTACAATGACACCATCAGCAGTGATGCAGTCACACTGGGTTGGTTTGACACAGTGGTCACGGTCTTTCCTGATGTATCCCTTGGGACAAGCTGGACAAGGCCCACATGTAGGCACACAGGAACTCCTGTCGCCGTACACACATTGTGTGATCTTGTATCTGTAGCAGTGGCAGGTCTCCTCACAACGGAAGGAACAGCCGTAAACCTTCTTCTTACACTCAGCTGTAAAAAAAATCATATTTTTTTCAAATACATTCAATTTGGGAGGACAATCAGACTCAAACATGCAACACTATGTCCATTGTCAAGAAAAGGTGATAGCCTATCCTTCCGACCAAGCTATAATAACAATCCTAGAAATGTACAGGTTTTCAGTAATTTGTTTCTTGTATTGTGAAAAAACTTTGCCAATAAATAAGATAAAAAGAGATTCCATCAATTTACAGTTTCAGCATATCTATCGATACTCACTTGTAACAGCTGTTGTAACCCATGGCATAGTTGTAGATTCAGGCATTGTTGTTTCTGTTTCTGGTTTAGTAGTGTAGGTTTCAGGCTTGGTAGTGTATGACTCAGGCCTGGTAGTGTATGACTCAGGCTTGGTGGTGTATGTCTCGGGCCTGGTAGTGTAGGTTTCAGTCTGTGTAGTTGTACCAGGAGTTGTAACCTTTCTTGGTGTCTTGTATGTTGTTGTAACCACAGTTGTGTATGTCTCTGGCTTGGTGGTGTACGTCTCGGGCTTAGTGGTGTATGTCTCAGGCTTGGTGGTGTATGTCTCAGGCTTGGTAGTGTACGCTGTTTCTGGAGTTGTCACCTTCCTTACAGTGGTAACTTGCGGGGTGCTTACAACTGTCGATGTTGTTGCTGTTGTTGTACATAGATTCTCACAAGTCATCTTGTTGTCTTTGCATTCACAGATAGTACATCTATCAACATACTTCTTTGTGTTGGGCTGAAAAAAAACATTGCAAATATCTGTAACTGCATACTTATGCACATAATGCTTATTATTCATCAAGTTGGATTTAGAAGGCAGAAAGCTTACTTACTAAAATTCAATTGATTTTTTTTTCCAAAAGTCCAAACACTGTTTTCTAGAAGTTGGTCATTTTTGCCATTGCACCTCTTGTTCTATTTTCTGTTGTATGCATGCTTTCATGTTTGTACTCACAGGAACTATCTGCCCATCAGGAGTGATGCAGCCACACTCTGTAGGCTTGACACAATGATCCTGATCCTTGCGGACATATCCTGGTGGACAAGCTGGACACGGACCACATGTTGGGACACAAGAACTCCTGTCGCCGTACACGCACTGTGTAATCTTGTACCTGTAGCAGTGGCAGGTCTCCTCACAACGGAAGGCGCAGCCATAAACCCTCTTCTTGCAGGTGGCTAGAAAATGTTATGAAAGTAATTCTTGTCATGGGTACATGTACGTTTCAATAAAAAATACCTAGCTAAATAAGAAAATTTCAAACATCCCAATCAAAACATGTAACAGAGGTTGGGTACTCACTGGTCACCTCTGTTGTAAACCAAGGCCTTGTTGTCTCTGGAATTGTAGAAGTCCATTCTGACGTTGTGGTCTCAGGGTAGGTCTTCTCAGGCTCAGTAACCTCAGGCTTGGTTGTCTCAGATGAAGTTGTGGTTCCTGGAGTTGTAACCTTTCTTGTTGGCTTGGTTGTTTCAGGGTACGTCTTTTCCGGCTCAGTGACCTCTGGCCTGGTTGTTTCAGGATAGGTCTTCTCCGGCTCAGTAACCTCTGGCTTGGTTGTCTCTGGGTAGGTCTTTTCTGGCTCAGTAACCTCTGGCCTGGTTGTTTCAGGATAGGTCTTCTCCGGCTCAGTAACCACTGGCTTGGTTGTCTCTGGGTAGGTCTTTTCTGGCTCAGTAACCTCAGGCTTGGTTGTCTCAGGATAGGTCTTCTCTGGCTCAGTAACCTCTGGCCTGGTGGTCTCAGGGTAGGTCTTCTCTGGCTCAGTAACCTCTGGTCTGGTGGTCTCAGGGTAGGTCTTCTCTGGCTCAGTAACCTCTGGTCTGGTGGTCTCAGGTCGGGAGGTATATGATTCAGGTGTGGTGGTAGAGGATGGAGTTGTCACCTTTCTTGGTGTTTTGTATGTTGTTGTTATGACTGTAGTGTAACTTTCTGGTTTGGTGGTGTAGATCTCAGGCTTAGTGGTATAAACCTTGGTTGTTACAGTAGTTTCTGCTTCAGTTGAACAGAAGTTTGAGCAAGACAACTTGTTGTTGTAGCACGTACAAACCTTGCAGTTGCCAACCTTAACAGATTTCCCTGCCTGAAACGCATTGTTTAAAAGTATTAAAACTTGCACACACATGCAAATTAGTTTAAGAAACAATAAATTTAAAATGAAATATAACTTTTGGACAAGGTATTTTATAGTCTCTTTTTGGAAACTATGATTTTGGAATCAGATACCACTTACTGGAATGATGACACCATCTTCGGTGATACAGTCACACGTTGTAGGCTTCACACAATGGTAGAGGTCCTTCCTGATATAGCCTTTAGGACATTGTGGACATTCTCCACATGTTGGCACACAGGCCTTGGGGTCATTGCGCTGGCACTGAGTGATCTTGTACCTGTAGCAGTGGCAAGTCTCCCCACACTTAAAGGAGCAGCCATAAACCTTCTTCTGACATTCGGCTGAAACAAATGCAATTGAACATGGTTTAAACACACCATATACAAACTTGAACAAAGCTGTCCTTGGAGCTGAACACCATATATGAACTAACAATCCTATCCTTGTTGCTGAACATCCTGCACATAGTAACAAACCTATCCTTGGTACTGAAAACTATCTACATACAGATCTGTCATTACAAGAAATGTTGACAGATATGTAAGAAATTATTAGTAAATACAAACGTGTTGCAAATGCAGAAATAAAAGTTAATTACACTATAGTGAGTACTTAACATAAAAGATGTTGGTGGACCTGCAAGACAATGTTGATTGCGATGTCCACACATTCCTATGCGCAAATGAATGATAAATTTCATACGTGTCATGGGTAAAGGAGTAAAAGTCATATAAAAATTTGCTCCATGGCGTGTTCCAAATCCTCAGTACATGTACACGAATTAGAGTTAATATGACATTTTTTTTAATTACTAATAAAAGGTACAACAGTCACCTACTTGTTACAGTTGTGTACGTAGTTGGCAAAGTTGTATATTCCTCAGGTTTTGTAGTGTACACCTCAGGCTTAGTAGTGTAGATCTCAGGTGTGGTGGTGTAGATCTCAGACGTAGTGGTAGATGATGGTGTTGTCACCTTCCTTGGTGTTTTGTACGTTGTGGTAGTGAAGGTTTCTGGCCTTGTGGTCTCAGGGTTTGTTTGTTCTGGCCTGGTGGTCTCAGGGTAGGTCCTCTCTGGCCTGGTGGTCTCAGGGTATGTCTTCTCTGGCCTTGTGGTCTCAGGGTATGTCTTTTCGGGCCTAGTGGTCTCTGGGTATGTCTTCTCTGGCCTTGTGGTCTCAGGGTAGGTTTTCTCTGGCCTAGTGGTCTCAGGGTAGGTCTGTTCTGGCCTTGTGGTCTCAGGGTAGGTCTTCTCTGGCCTGGTGGTCTCAGGGTAGGTCTTCTCTGGCCTAGTGGTCTCAGGGTAGGTCTTCTCTGGCCTGGTGGTCTCAGGGTAAGTCTTCTCTGGCATGGTGGTCTCAGGGTAAGTCTTCTCTGGCCTTGTGGTCTCAGGGTAGGTCTTCTCTGGCCTAGTGGTCGCAGGGTAGGTCTGTTCTGGCCTGGTGGTGTATGTCTCTGATGTTGTTGTAGAAGGAGTTGTAACCTTCCTTGGCGTTTTATATGTTGTTGTCTCGGTTCCCCGTGTTGTGGTGAAGACTTCTGGAGTGGTGATGCTTCCCGTTGTCTCAACAAGTGGAGTGGTTGAGATGGTTGAGGTGGTGCAGAGGTGTGAGCAGGTAAGCTTGTTGTTGTAGCAAGTGCACATTGTGCATTCATCTATCTTCTTAGTACTGCCAGCCTAGAAAGTAACAGATATTTGTTAGATATTGAAGTTATTTATGCATTGAACTCTAGATTGAGCTCTAAAATGTAAACAGGGTGCCTATCGTGAATGTAGAATCAAACTGTGTACTTTTTTTAGCAAATTAAGTGTATGCTTTGTACTACATGTATGTACTACCCACGGGATTTGTATTTACACAATGGTTAATGATTTACTCTTAACTAATGGCCATTAATCATACCTCAAATGTTCACGCACAGGAGGAGAGATTATCCTTTAATTGTGCACAACAGCTTAAATGTATGATGCTAACGATTTTTAAATATAATATAATATCATGTTATATAAGAATATAAATATCATGAAGCTTCATTTGTGTTAAATCAGTTTCAAATCAGGACATTAAGTACTTCCATGCCAAAACAAGTACATGTAGTAATTAATTTATTCAAGTTATGTAAAAGTCTAATGTCATTTTGTCAAATTCCGGTTGCACAAAAATTTGTGTAACTAATGGATAAAGTATGAAGTATCAAGTTAGTAGTTTCAATATGAATGAGAAGTATTCTAACCTACGCTTTTGGCCAGTCACTCTGGTCTTCCTCAGACTGACCAGGTGAGACTTGTCACGAGGTTTCTCTGTCTTCCAAACTGGGTCAACTGAAGAAGACCTGAGTGGCTGGTCTAAATCTCTAACTGAGAACATTTCTCGTTTGTGTTGGAGCAAAAGTAAACAAGAATGTACATAATTTAGGGGTAACATACTGGCACAACAACTCCTTCTTCTGTCCTGCAGTCACATTCTGCCGGCTTGATACACCTGTCCCTGTCCATCCTAACATACCCAGCAGGGCAGGGAGGGCACTCCCCACATGTCGGTACACAGGCCTTAGGGTCTCCATATGCACACTGGGTGATCTTAGTACGGTAGCAGTGACACACTTCATCACACTTGAAAGAACACCCGTAGACCTTCTTCGTACATTCGGCTAAAAAGACAAATGCCATGTTAATCTTTACAATCTACAAGAAATCATTGAAGGAGAGGAGAGAAAATAACAAAAGTATATCAAAACAAATCAATGAATATCAAAGTGAAGCCATGTATGCCAAAAGTGTAAATAAGGTCCTGTCAACAAATGTACGATTATTAGGTATCTCCATGACAAATTTTAAATCATTTTCCTTTTAATATCAGGGAATAAGGGCCAGAAATATATATTAAAAATATAATAAACCATTTTGAAGTTTTGTATGCCACAAATGTGACTGAAGTGATTTTGGTAATAGTCCGGCTTTAAAATCATTTGGTTTTTATACCCGGGCACAGGAGCCAAAAAATCTACATTTCATATGATAGATGTCCACATGTATGTAAAACACTTACTTGTGGTCGAGCTCTCAGGCTTGGTGGTGTAGGTCTCAGGCTTGGTGGTGTATGTCTCAGGTCTGGTGGTGTAGGTCTCAGGCTTGGTGGTGTAGGTCTCAGGCTTAGTGGTGTATGTCTCAGGCCTGGTGGTGTAGGTCTCAGGCCTGGTGGTGTATGTCTCAGGCTTGGTGGTGTAGGTCTCAGGCTTGGTGGTGTACACCTCTGGCCTGGTGGTGAACACCTCTGGTGTTGTATCCCTTCCAGGTGTTGTAACCTTTCTAGGTGTCCTTGTTGTGGTCTCTTCTTCCGGCCTGGTCGTGAAGACAGGCGTGCCTGGGGTTGTTTCTAGAGGAGATATACAGGCCCTATTATATTCCCCATAAACACTCCAATTCAAGGAACATTCATTATTTCAAAATAGATCTAGCCAAATTAATATTTGTGTGATATATTAAAGGATAATAAATACGTTGGTTGCAATTAGACGTCTTCATGAACAAAGCTAATTCTGGAGAATTCTGCCATAATTCTGGGAACCTGAATTATATACGTTTTATTCTGGCTCGTTCTCATCACATCACAGCACATCACATAACACAACACCAGAATAGGGGAAAGTTCAATATTATATGTGCAAATACCGCTCGAAAATATCAATAAAAGAGATTGCATGTAAATGTGATAATTGGTGATCTTACGTTCAGAACAAATAGGAACATTGGCACAGCACAGCACGCGCACTTCGTAGTTGTAGCAGTACGGGCTGATTCCTCTCATCATCATCTGGAACCTACTGGCCCCCATCGCATGAGTACAGACGCAGCCGACATCACAGTTAGCCACAACATTCTGCCCTGTCCTTGCGTAGTCGATATGTGTTCCCACAGTGCGGCATTGGATCCTCTTGACCTTCTGGTTTGGCCCGCCGACGTTGAAGCCATGGCGGCGAAGGTTTGTGAAGGACTCGTCATCACCCCTTGTCGCTGGTGTTGGGTAGCAGGCATCCATCCATGCTGTCCAGGAGCATGCCTCCTCCTCAGTGTAGCATCGAGTTGTGGGTACTGATAAAAACAAAGAAACTTGACTGTGTGAACAAAACTAGTAACCAAATCATCTACCTATCATGATCTTAGCTTGGGTGTAAAAGATGAGACCTTGTCAGGAGCAGAACACCAAATTGATCTATGTGTACTAATGGCCGACGTCTAGAAGTTATTATGCATCTTGTTGCAGGGTTAGGGGTACAGATAGGGTTAGCATGTTGGAAAGTTTGTACTTTGGTCCGATAACTCAAGAAGATATGAATGAATCATACATAAAATTTAGTAGGTAAATAAAGCATGACCTATCAAAGAATTTTCATATTTTTGACTCCAGCAGAACTTCCGGTTTTGAAATTTCGTATTCTGCAGCTGGACAAGGTACGGTCATGGTTTTTACATTATCAAATTCTCAAATCTTACAGTTTTATTTTACTGTATTCGACTGAGGCTCATTGGAATAGATAACTTACCTGTGGTTGTGACCTGAGTAGTTTTTTCTGTAGTGACCTTCCTGGGAGTTTTGTACCCAGTAGTCGTAATGGATGGAGTTGTTGTTGGCACAGATGGTGTTGTGCAAAGGTTGACACAAGTCAATTTGTTGTCATAACAGTTGCAGACCGTGCACTGGTCAATCTTCTTAGTGGTACCAGGCTGAAATATAGCAATAAGGAAAATGTTATGATTCTTTGAATATCAGCATCAAGGTCTTCAAATTTTACTGTTGATGTAGAGATATACATGGATATAATATCCATAAAGAAATGTCGACCTATTAAGTAATTTCCAAGCAGATGATAGCTTGAAGATTTCTGTGAACCATATTACTGCGTGCAGTAAATAAAACCCTAAACACGGTTCTAACCTAGAATGTTCCAAAATTGCTGACAAAGACATAACTACCATTTTTGCTTGTGATTGCACTGTAGTTGTAAAAGGATATGTGGCAATGATAATTCTACATTTCCATAAAACCAGGACAAAGAGCGCTTTTCTAGAATTGACATGAAATATTGTACAGGTCATGTTCCTTACCGGAACAACAACGCCGTTGTGAGTGATGCAGTCACACTCAGTAGGCTTGATACAGTGGTACTGGTCCTTGCGGACGTATCCCATAGGACATGGTGGGCACTCTCCACATGTTGGGACGCATGTGCTGGGATCACCACGTGAGCACTGGGTGATCTTGTAACGATAGCAGTGGCAAGTCTCCTCGCACTTGAAGGCACAGCCGTAAACCCTCTTCTTACACTCAGCTGTGTTGAAACAGTGAATAGATTAAATACTGTGCACCATTAGCTCTCCATGTAGGCAGACGCGAGCAGTGGCTAAAATTGTGCAAATTCGACAGCAAAGTATCAGAGTACAAAGGATAGATATCAAACTGTTTGCTAACAACTGTACATGTCATCCTAAGCTGTTTCAGTGCCAAAGACAAAGCCATCCGAACAGGGCTATATGGATAGTGTTCAGCAACAAGGACACGGTCGTGTGGATGGTGTTCAGCACCAAGGACAGGGCAATTTAGATGATTTCAGCACCAACGACAGAGCCGTGTGGATGTTGTTCAACACCAAGGACAGGGCTGTATGGATGGTGTTCAGTACCAAGGACAGGGCTGTGTGGATGTGTTCAGCACCAAGGACAGAGCCATGTAGATGGTATTCAGCACCAAGGACAGGACCATGTGGATGGTGTTCAGCACCAGGGATAGAGCCATAGGGATGGTGTTCGGCAACAGGGACAGAGCAATGTAGGTGGTGTTCAGCACCAGGGCCATCCAAACGTACATTTTGTTCTTCAGAGTCTTATGTGTAGATTTTTAGAATAACTCGAATCCATAAACTCTCACTGGAAGTGACTAATGTGGTAGTAAATGCATGGTGATTCCATACGTATAATAGCACATTTTAAAAACACAATACTTGCAATTTCACTTATGGCGATAGCTACATCATACTTATGCCTAAACACAGCCAACAACATAACTGAATGACAGAGCAGTCACCATCTTAGTAAGCAATATATAAACTCCACCCATTATAGTAAGCAATATATTTAGAATAATTGCAACATTTTCCAATTGGTTGCCAATGATAAAATTCATTACTTTGCTTTCAATTGATCCATATTTTTAAGACGTTGAACTTCAACTTCCTCCAAAATAATTAAAGACTACTTAAAGATAAGAGAAACGAAGAAGAAAAACTAACTTGTGGCTATTGGCATCGATGTAGTATATTCTGGAGCAGTTGTTTCTGTCTCGGGCCTGGTGGTCTCAGGGTAGGTCCTCTCTGGCCTGGTGGTCTCAGGGTAGGTCCTCTCTGGCTTGGTAGTCTCAGGGTAGGTCCTCTCCGGCCTTGTGGTCTCAGGGTAGGTCCTCTCTGGCCTTGTAGTCCATGTCTCTTCAGTTGTAGAGAGGGAGTTGTCACCTTCCTGGGTGTCTTGTATGTTGTTGTCTCTGGGTAGGTCTTCTCTGGCCTTGTGGTCTCAGGGTAGGTCTTCTCTGGCCTTGTGGTCTCAGGGTAGGTCTTCTCTGGCCTGGTGGTCTCAGGGTAGGTCTGCTCTGGCCTTGTGGTCTCTGGGTAGGTCTTCTCTGGCCTGGTGGTCTCAGGGTAGGTCTGCTCTGGCCTTGTGGTCTCAGGGTAGGTCTGTTCTGGCCTGGTCGTGTATGTCTCTGAGGTTGTTGTAGAAGAGGGAGTTGTCACCTTCCTTGGTGTTTTATACGTTGTTGTCTCCCCTGGCCCAGTGGTGGTGTATGTCTCTGATGTGGTAGTGTATGTCCTTGTTGTGGTGCCAGTGGTGTATGTCCCTGTTGTAGTGGTCTCAGGTTGAGTTGTGGTTTCAGTTTCTGGGGTAGTTGTTCCGCAGACATTGTCACACTTTTCCTGGTTGTCTTCACACCTACAGACATTACATTTGTCTTTCCACCAGACACTGCCAGCCTAAGATGGGAAAGATGATGTTCAGTTCAAGGCAATACCAAATTGTTTTTGTGCAGTTGAATTTCGTTAAATTACATATATATAGAGAGATTTACAATTCATGTGTATTTTTATTCTGTGTTTGCTTCTTGTTTCCCTTTCGTTTCTTTTTTTTTCGGAATTAATATGGTAAAGTAACCCGCTTCGAATTTCAAACAGGCCCTTGTATTTGTCTTTGTTGTTTTTAGCATTGTCTTTTACACAAAAATTACAACACACCAATGGAAATTGTCTCTGTAATCTGTTACATACCGGCTTGATGGTGCCATCGTCAAGCATACAGGGGCACTCTTCTACCTTGCAGCAGGTGTTGGCATCCAACAGAACGTAGTCAGGAGGGCACTTGGGAGGCGCGCCACACCTTGGGCAGCACGTCTCATCATATCCGAACTTACACTCGGTGATCTTCTTCCTGTAGGAGTTGCAGGTCTCCTTGCACGTGAAGGAGCATGGTTGCAACACCTGGCCTGGTGGACACTCTGCAGTCGGCACATGATTTAAGGTTATCATCTTATAAACTATCAGCATTATTACCAATGTCAAATCTGGTACGTGTGTTAGGGCTGCGGCCCATGTGATAACTGGCCGTATCACACGAGGTTATAACGGGTATCACACGGGCTTCCAACAGTTTTGTGTGCACCGAGTCTTTTGAAAATTCAAATACCGGATTCGGACGTTGGAATTGATGTTGTTATTATCATTTTTGTCAAGGGACGTCAAAAAAAATCAGATGACGAAAAATTCAGGCTGGCTACAACACTTGTCCGGACAGATAATGGAAGAAACAGTTTTACCTGTAGTCACCGGCACAGTTGTCACCTCTGGTGCTGTGGTGGTAGTGACTGTGGTTGTGCTCATTCTCTGCTCTGGTGTTGTAGTCTGGCAGGTAGATACGCACTTCATCTGGTTGTTCCAGCAGACGCATGATGTACACTTGTCCTCCTTCCATGAGGTGCCAGGCTGAAACAAGAACATTGAACTTTGACAAAGCTGACTTCAGCTGATTTTCTATAATTGATGCATGTAGATAGGTAAATGAAAGATCACAAAACAATAAGTCGCAGACCTCAGGCCTCCATGAAATATGTATATCATGTGTGATGGTTAATGTGTCCTCTTCTCATTTACCATGATCTTTCTTTATCGTGCAAGGGAAACAAACACCAGCTGTGAGCTGTCAAGGAGGTCGTGTAATGAAAAATACGTGAAAACAGCGAGCGCTACCAGATGTAGACGTGGCTTTAATTTTTTATATGATCTGACGCTCAGTTGCATAAAATTATTATTTTGGGTCGTTCTTTGTTTAGTGTTTTTCGTTTATTAGTTTCCCCTATGTCGTTGTTTCTGTTACTCTGTTATGTCATTCTATTCAGTACACGCCACACATTAAAGCTGTGTCGTAAGCACTGAGTGCGCCTACCTTGTATAAAGAAAACAGATAAATAAAGACTTACCGGTACGACTGTACCGTTCTCCAGCCTACACGGACACTCCTCGATCTTGACGCATGTGTCGATGTCCCTAAGCAGCTGTCCAGTTGGACACCCCTTGTAGACACCACAGGTGGCCACGCAGGTCTTGTCCCAGCCATACTCGCACTCCGTCACCACGGAACGGAAACACTGGCACGTCTGCTCACACGTGAAGGAGCAGGGGTACAGCTTGTCCTCCGGACAGGATGCTACAGGGAAAGATCCAGGCAATATTTTAATCATTAAACTTTGTTTACTGTATCAGATTCTGCTTATTTTATTCACATTTACAAAAAAAAACAAGTGCATAAACAAGTAGTATAAATGAAATATAACAGTGCAAGTGAGGCCGAATCCGAATTATGTTCATGTAATTATAAATTATAGAGGCCTCCCTTTATCAATTCACATGTGTACAAAAATAATTTGAAAAGCAATTAATCGGAAGACACAAGTTTGGCAATAAGGAAATGAAACAGCTAATAATGAATGAATCAATCAACCAAACAAAAGAAATAAGTTTGATAATAACTAAATGAAGCAATACATGTACAATGAAGCAATAAATCAACCAAACAAAATAAATAAGTTTGGTAATAGGTAAATGCAACAATACAATTAATGAATCAATTAAAGTTTAACGAGTAATGAATAAAGAAGGAAATCAAAATTACTTTCCGTGGTGAAGATGGAAACCAAAATTACTTTAAGTGCTTTGATTAAAAGGAGCAGGGTATTTTTGATGGAAAGGGACAGGTTGAGGATGAAGGTATATGTACTTACTAGTAGCAAGTGTTGTTGGCTCAGGAGTTGGAGTGGTAGTCGTGGTCGTGGTCTCTGCCATTGTTGGCATCCAAGGCGTTGTTGTTGACTCTGTATCGGACACATAATTAATTATACTCAATGGGAAACTTCAACAGGAAGTCGTAAAATAAAACATATAGAATATAACTGGATGTACATATTGTCCTATAAACACAATGGAAAAATATCAATTTTCTTTTAAGAAAGGCCAATTAAGTTCAAAGCAAGCTAACATATCACTGGTGGTAGCATTATATTGAATACTCATACATGTACATTTGTACACGTGTTAAGCATGACAAAATTATGTCACATTATAAGTAAGAAGTAAAGATTTACATATTATACAGTACTTACCTGTACATGGAAGACCAATGCATTGAATCTCCCGATTTACGCAGTAACTGAAGACAGAAAAACAGAACACACAGTTTTGACATTCACAATTGAACAAGAAAATCTTTGACATGGATACACTACAGATTTTAAAAAAATCTATTATGGTAATGTAAACATATAACATTTAACCATTACCGAACTTGAACTTCCTCTTTGCGACCCCTACCCGTCCACTACATGTCACGTACAATCATTCACAGCTTCTTTAGTTCGAACTTGAACTTCCTCTTTGCGACCCCTACCCATTTACTACATGTCATGTACAATCATTCACAGCTTCTTTAGTTATATAGTTCTTTAGTTACGTAGAAACAGGCAAAGACCGCTGCAGTGCCGTAAGAAAACGTCAGGCGGACCAGTTTCGAACTCGACCTTTGTTTTACAACTGCATCACCAAATCTCATGAAGATCGCCTCACAGCTTCTCGAGTTATGCTGTTGACACAGACCACAGCCACTCCACCATGGCATAACCGAAAATAGTGTCAAAAGTAATCAACAAACGACTGATATGACGTTATACGTGTATGTAACGTTACAGAACAACTGACTCACCAGCTACGGCAGTCATCAGACATCGACTCAATCTTGTCGCCCTCGTAGTAGGCCTTGCCTTCCACATGCATGCAGACACAGTCCTTAGGGTGGACACACTGCCTCCCATCCTCACTCAGGATTTCCCCTACAAAACATCATCGGTATAAATGGTCAGCTAGCAAGTTATAAAACTTGGGTCCAATCATATTCGTCAACACTACAATTGAAATAATTGATTTCATCTACCTTAATTATTATATTCTTTGACATTCATGCAAAATATAGCTGTGCAGCATGTAACATGATAGCAAAAAGAGTACAAACAAACTTTTGGCTGCACAATACATCCTCACTCGGGATTTCCCATACATAACATAAAGCCATCATCGATATAGAAATGGTGACATGGCAAGTTATAAAACTTGGGTCCAATCATATGTCTTCAACACTTCATTTGAAATAATTGATTTCAACTACCTTTATTTATTTATGAAATTCAAGCAAAGTAGTTTTGCAACATGAATCAGGTTAGTGAAAATGAGTGAAAAAAACGTTGCTAGATGAAAAATCTGACCTGGCATGAACTATTATCATCATCATCATCTCACCTTTGAACTAGACTATGAAATAAATTGATACTTGAAAACAAAAATTTTGATGAGATGCGGTTCACCCTTGACATCAATGCAATGAAGAAAATCACTGTTATCGAGATTCCTTAAGGGTAATGTGTACATGTACTTAACAGAAAAAGATAAAGTTTAGCTTCACCTTCTGGACAGTCACAGCCCTCCACACATGTTTCTTCACACTTCTCGTCCACCATATCCCAGTGCTTGTAGTTGGTGCAGGTCTTCGGACAGGCACTTACGCAGGGGGCGTACCTCATGCAGCCCTCGCATTGCAGAGCTGTGGGAGGAAACGTTGCAAGGTTTATCAACAAGCTCGTCTTAGATAAATTGCACCATTTTGAATCTCAGGATTTCGTTACCAAAAGAGGACTCTCGCACTTGCCACTCTCGCAGGGGCCACCCTTGCGCATTAAAAAACAATAGATGAATAAACAAAGTTGAAATTAACTTACGACACAACTCTTGGGTCCTCCAGCTGACGTAAGCACCGTGGAAGTTGCAGGCTTGAGCGTAGGCAGCAACAGCTGTACACAGACACTCACAGTCACCACCACTGTCACAGCCACAGGCGTCAAACACACACCGGTCCAGGTAACCTTGATATGGAACCTAGGGTGGCATGTAATCAAGATAAGCCTTAGACAGTATTGACAAGCAAATATGCAAGGAAGGAAATGAAGATTACAAAATCTGTCTGTACAATCGTCAAATATAGACTTAGTACTCTTGTGTTTTATGTCTAATTTGTTTACTCGTATGTATTGTGTACTTGCCATGTTTTTGTATGTATTCATAAGATGTAAAGACAACGCAATTGATGGTTAGTATGTACTTCTGCAATGTTGATTGCAAATATGCGATCAACAAAGATAAGGAAACTTCTAAGGATGGTCAATTAAATGGCATAGCAATAGCAAATTCAACCAATCTTCCATAAAAAACCTTGTTGGACCAAATACAGCAAATCTATACCTTTCCCGGCCTCGCTGGTCAAATAAGAATGACCAAAAAACTGGCTTTGAGAATCCAGTTTGACTACCCAGAAATTTCATTGGAGTATTTTTAAAACGTATGTTTAATTAACACATTATAAAACAACTTGCTTGATAAATGATGATAAAACAACAAACAGCAAATGTTTAGCTTACCAAAGCATGGCAAGCCTTGAACAAGTCCGACTTGATGATGGCACACTGACGCTGAGCCCAGGCTTTCCTGTGAGGATGGAGGGAGCAGGTGTCCTTGATCTCCTTGGCCTGTAACAAGAAATCGCAATAAGTCACTCATCACTAAGAGTACATGTATGTAGAAAATCAGGAACTGCCATTCATAATTTCTGACCAAAGACGCTACCCATATTGGATCATGATCTCCATCATCCAAACCCTAACCTACCTACGTACCAAGTATCATAAAGATACATGCACCACACCCCAAGTTATAACCGACTAAACAATCTGCCCCTATATACCCCTAAATCTCTACCAAATATCTTGACGAATTCAGCAGTCAGAAACCTTTGGACCAAGGGTAAAAACGTACCAAATTGAAATCAAATTCATACTGTTGTGATGACAGGAACAAGAATACTATTTATAGGAACAGTTTGTGGCCGTAGACCATTACATACCTTAGGACAGTAGTCATGTCTGCGCCAAGAGTCACCAAAGTCGTTGTCGTCTTGTGTTGCGATTCCGTTTGGCATGGTGAAGTCGTCATTCTGGTCCTCATTGTAGTTACCACAGAGACCTTCAACCTGTAGGACAAAGGTAAAGATGGTGACATCAGTACATGTACATCTGGGATGAATTGAAATTAATGCCATCTAAATAGGGTTACTGTAATAGAGGAAGAAAGATGCATTGTTAACTTTCTCAGTCACGGAAGCAAATTACTCTTTCTTCTTCCATACTCCAAGTCTCAGGAGGAACTACATCACAAGCTTCGATATGAATGCTTCCCTAATTGGTACAGTCTTAAAAGTTTCAAGTCTAAGGTAAAACTCTGTCTTGTACAGTCCATTGCCATATCCCAGAACATGTGGAACAATGGTTCTCATTAGACTTTTCTTCTAGGTGAAAATTGAAAAAAGTATATAATATCCATATAACCAAACACTGGTCTGAGATGGGGAACACAATTTAAGAGGACATGGGATTCAACGGTTACTTTAAAATGCACAAAATGATATTGAGAGAGGCAAAATTGCAATGAAATGACAAACCAGGTTCTTGTGCATGGGGTCCAGCTTGACGTACACCCTGGTGCCCTTGTCCCACTGTACACTCAGGCCAAACTCCGTGGCCAGGAACAGGAACATGCCGGCGGTTCGGACATAGAATCCAGAGCCACGGTCTGCAACTATGGGCTTCCCGCGAACGAGGGTGATTCTCCTGATCTGAAACGGAATTCAGGAAGAAAAAGGCCTTACATTCCAACCACAATGTACAAATTTATATACATGTTACAAGTGTTCATCTGTGGCAAAGGGCCACCTTATTTACTCTTATCAATATTTTATCTCTTGATTTACCCAGACAAACACTAAACAAGAAGGATGTTATAACTGAAGAGAGAATGTGTAGTATAGAGGTTTTTCCTTTGACGTCATAATGATTATCATATGAATCTCGACGACCAATTGTTGGCGAGTAAAGTGATTACAGCAGCAGGATGTTGGCATGTCTGTTAAAACAGACATACACTGTAATCTAAAACGGCGCATGTGAAAAGCATGTATAGGAAGTTGAACATTGTCTCATTCATGCACATAATGTTGACTTGTGAATGCAGACATGCACCTATGAGTTACAGCCCATTACAATGAATTGTGTGGTGCACATTCTTAAATGATATTATCCTCAAATGAACAACCAAACAAGCAGTGCATTATCATTACAACCATTACCTTTTTCCCGACGCCAACAGAGACGGTGACAGACTTGGTGCAGGTGACGCCGCTGGTACCGCAGGGGATGTTCTCGGTGGTGATGGAGAACTGGTGGGCGTTACTGTCCTTACTGCGCACCAGCACGTACTCACACTCACCCTGGTAGTCATACTCCTTCCCGTCAAACGTCTTGTAGTGAGGGTCGCCATAGGAGGAGCACACCCCTGGAAAGTGAGTGTAATGTTAATGCCTTCAACTTTGATGAGTTTTAGACCTAGCGCAATTGTGGAATATAACGATATTTCTTTGTTGAAGAAAGTGGAATAACAACAGTGAACAAGACGTATCACCAAGAGAAAATAATGAATAAAACAAAACGGGTGGTCAGTATTGTATTTAAGATCATGGTTTAGAAACTGCGCAGACTAACCTGGGCATTCATTTGTCTCACAAGTCCACTTGCGTCCCTGGCAACGGCTGTGTATGAGAAGAAAATAATAATAACTTAATTGCACAAAGTATGGCATTTATTGGTACATATTGACTACACTTTCATAACGCTAACCTATAACGAATACGAGAGTGGGTAGAGCTAGTATGGGATAAGTATATGATAAGTATAATACTATGAACTTTTACAATCATTGGAGGAAATATAATTATATTCCTATGTATACCTTGCAGGGATTGTCACAAGTCATATGTATTCAAATTTGCTTTTCAATTTCATAAAGGTAAATGCTGGTTCAGAATCTGTATAGTGAATTACGTAATATCAATATATGGTGCTCCTGTTATATCTTGTATATGTCACAGGGGAGATTGGAATCCAGGGGGATCCGGAATCCTCCTAGCGGAGATTGGAATCCCTATTTCCCCTAGGGGAGACTGGAATACTCCTAGGGGAATCCTCCTAAGAGAGATTGGAAACTTTCAATCAACTTCAGCATAGGCAAGCCTATTACTATTGTAGGTGAATTACTAGATTGGAATCAAGATTTGTCCTGGCATATTTGCAGTTCTAATTCCATAATTGAAATCTTTCCTGACTTAGAGAGAGTTAGACTGAAATCTATTTCCAACTGGAAAAACTAGTTTTTGAGTCACTATCTCACAATGGCCTGATGCAAATATCTGAGTCTGATTTACATATTCACTTACCTATGCTGAAATTGATCGAAACTTTAGGTGTGAAATAACTCAGTCTATTTGCCCAAGAATTTTGATGCAATCAGAATTTCTCCTTTTAAAATTGGAGATTGTCCTGTAAGAATTCCCACTTGTCCTAGGCCAAATTGGAATCCCTATCTATATCTCCCCTAGGAGAATCTGGAATCCTCCTAGGAGAGATTGGAATTCAGACATTCAGATCCCAAGAAAACTTGAATTCCAGTCTCCCCTAGGGGAAATAGGGATTCCAATCTCCCCTAGGAGGATTCCGGATCCCCCTGGATTCCAATCTCCCCTGTGACATATATATCTATATCCACTCTTCAGTCTTCTTTTGATTAGGGACTCACCATGTGTTGCAGTCAATCTTCATGGTCTGCCCCTCCTGGTAGCTCCTGCCGCCATGCTGGCACGGGCAGGACTCGGGGGCAACGCACGACTTGCCGTTCCAGACTGTCTCATTGTTGCACTGGCAGCCAGCCACACATTTCCTGCATTAAAGTAAAGATAAAGCATACATGTTGTAGTCATGCCTTCCTAAAACGTTTGTGTGGCAAATGATAGCCAAATAACAAGCTGATAAACCAGGTGGTGGCAAAATTACCAAGAATTCGGAGATCTCAGACCTCCGTGAAATATTCAATCTTGCGTAAATGTTATATTTGGGATCTTCTTCTCATTTACGTTAATGTCCATAAGTCACCACTTTTTAGGAGGGGTTGAAAATCTCTTTTGAACAAAAAGGCTGGTACAATCGCCTTCTGTATTGCGCAGCTTTCAAAGAGACATGTAACAACTAACACTAATGAAAAAGTGAGTGCACGCTTTCCAGATGTAGAAATGATTAATGACTTTCGCCTATGGGACAAACTGAACCCAACCAATCCATCACAAACTGCAGAAACACACACACACCTCCATTTTTCATTGAGGTAACCATGCAAGTGCTGGTGACAATTGGCACTCACCTGGTAATACATGTCTGCCTAAGGTGCATGTTCTCACAGGTTCTTGGGCACTCTGTTTTACAGTGGGACCACTCCATGTTGGTCGGACACTCCTCCTCCTGTGGACACTCATTCTCCGTGCAGACCCAAGAACCCTTGTGGCACTCACTGGAGGGTTGACAATACAATGGTTTAACTCAATGATTGCGATTACCGTGAATTTTACCAACAATTGAAATTGAAATTGAAGCAGTGCTCAAACAGTCTGCTGGTGTAGTAACAAACTTATAAAGCCTAACTGAAACAACCGATTGGCTAAGACAACAACTTGGCATTGGTTATTCTAAATTCATGGAATACGGTGCAGTATATTTTTAGGTATGATTGGTAGGGGTTAACGGCAGCTCATCTCCTTTGAGTAATTTCAAGCCTATGCATGTGAAAAGTGACTATTTCAGATCTACCGTTTGTTCTTTCATTGGATACCAGTCTGGGTTCAAAATAATTTTTCAGGTTGCCCACTGAGCAAAAACTAGGCTGTCCATCAATATTTCAGATTGCCATCAACACTGGTTGTTTATTTTAGAAGGCCAGTCGTAAGCCGGGTCAACTGTAAAGGTATCGCTCACATGCTGACCGTTGCGGGACACCGTGTATTTTAGAAGCCGTAAGCTGAACCACTGTAAACTTTATAAAGGTATGAGATATAAAAGATAACTACATGTAGCGTCTCCAATAAGTCTCGCACAGAAAACGTGACCTGCGCGGCGATGGTGCAAAAGCTTCGAAATCTATCTCTGAAACATCAGAAGGTTTCGACTCACCAAATATTGCAATCCTGACGGATGGTCTCTCCTGCCTCGTAATCCTTGCCCTCGTGTATACAGGAACACTGCTCAGGAATCACGCAGTGACCGTCGTAGTCTAGAACCATACCCGCTGGACAGACACAGCCCTCCACTGTCTGCTGTGTGCAGGCTGAATTCAGAGACCCGCAGGAGACCTGGCAGCTGGGTGCCTCGTGTGAGTACACTTTGTCACCATTGCAGGTCATTTCTGGAAATCAAACATACAACACTGATTAGCCACGGGAGATTTTCAAAATTACAAAAACAGGAAAACTCCGTTCACGTGCACGGTGCATGTCTACTCAACTTCTAGCCAATCACAGCCCCCCGATTGTAGGAATATCCTCATGCCCTAATACTGGGTAGGTCGACATTCCAGCCCAATTTCTGTAAAACTCCGTTCACGTGCGCGGTGTATATCTTCTCAACTTCTAGCCAATCACAGCCCCCCGATTGTAGCAATATCCTCATATTGCTTGCCCCAGTCACCACGTGGAATACCTTGACGAGCCATGCCTTAGGGCGTCGTTACCTCAGACCTTCATGAAATATTTAGATCTTTCGTGATGGTGACTGTGTCCTCTTCTCGTTTACCATGGTGCCCTACACACAAGTCTTTACACTTACCCCAACCATATTCATTACAACCTGACCTAAAGGCCATGCAGAAACATGGGCATACACACACACACACACACACAAACACACACACACACAGAGCAAAAACAATTCCTCCATTTTTCATGGAGGTAACATTAAGGCATGGAATCTGTTGGTATCACTGACATATACATACATTATGTTTATGACAAACATTGCTTACCACAGCCGGGCACGGAGTTCCTCCAGTCCACATTAACACCTGCTTTTGCGCAGGCGAATGCATAGTCTGCGATGGCATCACACAGGTTGTTCAGTCCGTCTGTGGCGTCTGATGCGCAGCAGTCGTACAGACAGTTGTCGTAGTAAGCCTTGAAGTTCACCAAGTCATGGCACACTGTGGAGAGAACATAAAAGTCATCAAAAGACTATGCAATACTGCTACATTTGATAGTTCCAATCAATTTAAGTTGTCATTTAATAGCATAATCTTAAACGTAACCCAATTTAAATTGTTGGTTCTCCAATATTTTTCAGAAAAATTATGAACAACAGGGAAAAACAAATTCTATGATAGAAGCCATGCAGTCAAATCTAAACAATGAATTTTGAACTTTTAATCAAACCAATGGAGTGATAGATAGAAAAACTGTAACAGGTAGGAAGAAAAAGACTTTCTCCAACTATGTTGACCAAAACATTAGTATTTTTGAGCTGATTCTGAATCAGAACCTGGATTGCGAAAAATTCAGAAAAATGAAGAAGCAAATCCGAGAACCAAAGAATTAAATCGGCGTGGCCTAATTATTCATCCATGTTTGCAAAATGTGATATCACATACATGTGAATGGATCCTCTCTGATGACCTGACAGGACTTGAGAGCAGTGCTCCTCCTCTGGGAGTAGATCTCACACGGATGATGGGTGCCTTCATCAGACTTGGGTCCGGAACCACTGACTATCCACTTAGCTGCAAAGTTCTGAAAGAGATGGCGTGTTTTCAGTATTTTATAGTACAAGTATTAAGTATATTTAGTACAGTGGGCTTTAATATGGTGTTGTGTTACTAATATTAGATATTTTGATTGTGATATCAAGAGAAATAGTGATAATTTCTCTCTCATAACAATAGAAAGATCGACGTACGACCACTATTAAACTTTGTTACATTTTAACTCTTTGTCTAGATTTGTAGAATTTTAGACACTGGTCGGACTTTTAACCTGTAGTATCAAACTGATAAGAAGAGAGTTGTGTATTTTAGAATTAGCTGGGTATCTAAGGCTTCCGATGCAATTTCGAGGAGGGAAAACTGGATTTCCGAAGTGAATTTTCTGGTCATTCTTTTAATGTACCCTATCTGGCAGCATTCTGATATCTGGGAGACAAAATACGATGTCAATGAGGGGAACCGGATGTCTGTTTTGTATGGTAGGGTGGATTTACCTATTTATGGGCATTGCGCAAAATATAGGGACCCCTCACATAATGCATAGTATGAAATGATGACGAAAATGTGCAGAAATGGTAGTAAATGTCAATATCAGACAGATTTTCTCATCCAAAATATTTTCGTTTTGCCGCCCTGAATTTGCTTTGGATGCCTGTAGAGGCCAAAACAGAAATAGAAACAGAAGAGTACATACAGTGGCTGTGATCTCCACGTCGCCGTCCCTGGTGAGGAAGTCGTCCTTCTGCTTGTTGTTGTAGTTACCACACATACCATACGTGCGGCCCATCAGCTCAGGACTGGCCAACACGTACAGACGGTGCTTCCCATCCCAGAAGATGTTCAGGCCATTTGATGTTGTGACCTGTCAGCAATACATCAATACGTTTAGAGGTTGCAAAAATACAATGCAATAGCAATGACAATACAATGTATATAAGTCTCAGACATTGTTTTCGGACTCAGGACGACTCGGACCATTACCAACTCGGCCCATCGCAATTTGGTCAACACGGCCCACCGCCCTGGTCAACTCGGCCCACCACCAAATCAACCATGTTGATTATGGGCTTTTTGAAGTCGCAAAACGCCGGTGCTTGGGTAATCAACATGGCTTTAACCGAGACCGCGATTTTTGTTAGACAACAAAACTATTGAATTGTTTGGCTATAAAAAGCTATCATACATGATTTGTATGAAAAAAAGACATTTCAATCATTTTTATATAAAAAATATATCAAAATCATTCCATACATTATATCGTTTCATAGAATACCAACCCTTTGGTAGATGGTTGAGACAGTGTCGATAAAGAACTCATGAGAGCGGTAAGGCAGGGTGATGATCTCCTCCCCGTCAATCATCAGCTCGTGATCGGGGAGCATCTTCATTGTCTTACCGCCAAGTTCAACTGTCAGGGACCTACAGGTGTCAAGCGTATGGTATGTGTAAAAAGACCAGAAATTTGAAGTGTATGATAACGTTATGTGTGAAACGATCAGAAATCTGATATCTATGATATGTGCGAAAAGACCCGAAGTTTGATGTAAATTTGTAGAAATTGCATATTTGTAATAGATTTTGTGCACAGATTTTATTGTGCCAATCCGTTTTAATAGTTTCTTTTCTTGCAACTTATAAGTTACAAGAATAATCCTTATATAAAAATGTCTCTGCAAAATGCAGACTACAGGTGGGTGTTTCTAACACTGCATTTCAATGTAAACAATAACTTTTTAATTTACTATCCGTTTTGTAATACTTCTGCACTTGTACTGACCTACATGTATAGTAATGGCGTGTCGCGTTGGCAATAAGTACAAATACAAAGCACTGTGGCTCTTTGAGAATGGAAACAGCCCTTCAGAACTTAAAGTACTTTAAATTCCCACCTCTTGCAGTGCTCCTTGTGGCAGTCGTGTATGTTGTAGGTGATGCGGAAGGGGTCGTCGTCCCTGCGGATGTTAGTGGCCAGGATGAAGGAAGCCTGGTACGTTCCCAGCAGGTCAAACCGCACGCCGTCAAACGACTGGAAGTGGTTCTCTCCAGTCACGGAACAGGTGGCTGTATGGGTTAAGATTTTAGAAGTTAACTAGAAAGGTAACATTTTTTTGGACTTTTCGTACCGACTAGGATGTGACATCGAACAAAATTTAGATGAGGGAAAACAACTTACATTCACACTGATGTTCAGTGCAGGTCCACTTGCCCATGAAGCACACACTGTGGAAGAGACGCACACACAAAAGTTTTCACATTTTTGCTATGGTGTAGCATTGACTAAACTTACTAAATGAAATGAATGAGCAGAAAACTAACTTTAAATATCACGTTTTGCGCATGCCCAGTAACTGAAACTAAATTGGATGCCTAGCCCTTGTCCTGCGGGGCCCATATATATATGGGTTGTACATACAGTACCATCTATATAGTGCCCTGTATATGTGCGATTTGGGGGTGTTTCTCGTGCAACGCATCACACCGCAGCGAAACGCAACGAATGCGAAAGTAACTACGCCGCCGCAGGGCAAAAAAAGTCAAGGGTCTGTAACCTGATTAAGACATGAAATTATTTGAAAATGTTGTGTAAAAATTGCCAGCAGGACAAGGGTTCTAGAGAGCATAGAGCCTAGATGGATGTAAACCAACGCTACAGTGTGCCACAGTGCCGCCACTTACCACTCGTTGCAGTCCCTGGTGATCCTGTCGCCTGCGCCGTAGTCCTTGCCCTGGTAGGTACACGGACACTGGTCCCGCGTCACACAGGAACCGTCCTGCAGGAACGTGCCGCGCGGGCAGTGGCAGCCGTCCACGCAGTGGTCGTCCACGCAGTTGTAGTCTGTGTTGGAGCAGGTGGCGGGGCAGGACGAGCCGCAGGAGTCATAAACCATCCCGTTGGAGCATGACATGGCTGGAAGAGCATACAACACGTTTTATACAGTACCAAATTTGCCCAAGCAACCACCTATATAAGCCGGCCATCTGGCCATAACGACCGCTCTTTCTCGTTCTTTCCAAAGCCGACGACTTGTCCTACGCGGCCGTGACTGGAAGTAGTTTTGACGGCACATGGCCCATTCTCATGGCCTGTGACGACAGCGCCATTTTCAAACGTGTGGAGGAATTTTTTTTTGGTGATAACTAGCTAAAAATCGCGACGGAATCTGACAGTTTGCCACTGATTTCGACAGTCTTCGCGCAATGTAAAGTGGCAACGGCTGGGTCACCTTAGCCTATTTAAAATCCAAATGATATTGTACAATTTCTATCAGCGTGATGAAGCGTGTTTTCTTCTTTTGACTGCTCTACTTTGTTGGAAGAAATGCCGTCTTAAAAGGGTCAGGTGATCCTAAAAATAGTCACTCGTACAAGTTTGACGGTACGCTTCACTGCTGTCAACCTAGACTCTTAAAAATATTGTACAGTCTCTATCAGAAGCTACATTTTAAATGCTCTACATTGTTGAAAGAAATGCTGTTTTTCGACAAATTTCAAGTGATCCTATAAACAATAAAAGTTTGACGGAACACTACTGTCAACCTAGACCCAAATGACATTGTTCAATTGCTATCAGTTTCTACTTTTCCAATGTTTTGCGCATACATTGTTGAAAGAAACACCGTCTTATGGCAACGGTCAAGTGACCCTAGAAATAGTCACTCGTACATGTTTGACGGGACACCACACTACTGTCAACTTAGATTCAAAGTCAAACGATATTGTACAATTTCAATCCGTATGATGAAGACTGTTTTCTACTTTTTGATTGAACTAGTCTACATTGTGAAAAAACGGCGCCTTACGACAACGGTCGGGTGACCTCCAGTTGTGGTGGACGCCGAAACGTGAACACTCCCTGAAGTACGCCTCTAGAGAGCTGCACTCACAGCCCTGCCGCTGGGTGGCGCAGAAGCACACGTCCTCCTTACACGCCTCGAAGTAAGGCGTGGGGTCCACAACCTGGAATAGGGATGAAAATAAAGGTAAGGCCACGGCAAGTAAATTATATGGATGACATCCTCCACAGACTCGAAATCAAATGAAATGAGCGAAAAAAAACAAGGCGGGTCGAAAAAACAAGATTCCTAAATTTTCAAATTTTGACATCATAGACCTTCAATTGATAAACAATAAATGATGCCTATATTATGCTAAGTTTACTGACAGCCATTACAACCAGTTTGGAAAAACCCTTACAGCCTTGCAAGGTGTCTCCAACAGACAGCTGCAGAGGTTAATGGCATTGACTGCCACCTGATACGTCTCCGTGGTGTCAAAGGTGCAGTAGGTGTTGGTCGGGGCATTTGGGCACGGTGCTGAAAAGTACGACAGATTATATCAGTGGACCGGGAAGTCACACAAACTACTGTTTTCTGGTCAGAACTAAAAATGCTATCCGAAAATAATTTCATCAGGTTGGTAGAACATTTTCTTTTACACGACGGTTACCAGTATTATCCATATGATATTATATTCATATGTATAGCTTTCAAATACCTGACAGACTCTCCATCTTCCAACTGTTGGCAAACGTTGCGGAGTCAGCCACCAGCCTCCCGTGCAGTGTGGTGTAGTCGTCGGTAGGGTCCCGGTTAAACTTGCCGCACAGACCGCCCGTCTTTCCCAGCAGGGATTCGGACACCTGCATAAAATCCGCGCGACCATTTTATTGTGTATTCTTTGTTGCTATGTTTTTTTTATTTACTACAATTTCCATATGTGCTTAGCCCAATGGGTCAAAAATGTACAGTACTAAAAGGTCTTCATTCATTCATAAGCCAATGCACAGAGATTCTTGACGTACGGTGAGGAAGACGGCCTCCTGTCCGTCCCACCACAGCTTGAAGCCCAGCCCGCTCCTCACGATGATGAAGTGAGAAGTCTTCTCGATCAGGGCGCCGAAGGCGGTGGTGGGGACGGTGAGCAGGTTGCCGTCGCAGTAGACCAGCGGGCCGTCCTCCGACTGCCGAAGCTCCATCTCCACGTCTCCCATGTAGATGTTGATGGAGCGGGAGCAGGCCTCGCCAGGCTGGCAGTGACGGTCGTTGCAGATGTGGATGCTGAAAATATAAAATGTTTCGTGAAATCATATATAAAATTACTGGATATTTTTTCTCCACGAATGTCGATGTACAATTCTTATATCTAATAGTATATAGATGTTGATGGAGCGGGAGCAGGCCTCGCCCGGCTGGCAGAGACGGTCGTTGCAGATGTGGATGCTGAAAATAATATATGTTTTGTAAAAATCATATCGCAAAACCCACTAATTGTGTAAAATGTGGGACTATTCATTATCCACTGCCTTCAAAGAAGAAGTCAAACCCTATAATAGCTAGTGTAGTAGTAGAAGTACACGTTTTCCCAGACAGTAGTTGTCTGCCTCCTATTATTGTACCGAATAGAATCTTTGACTGTATATAAATAGATTTTATATTTAAATTTACAGGATATTTTCTGCTCCATGAATGTCGATGTACATCGGGATATCGATATAAATTCTGTTGTCCAGTGGAAAATTCTTAAAGTGTTTGAAGTGTTTGAAGTAGCCACAAATCAAGATACGTAAGGCATTTCTTTATTTTTGGGTACCAGCCAACGATACAAAGCAAGCTACTGTTCTCCTTCTGTGACATACGTAGCGTTTTCCCGTCACAGATACCAGTAGGGGATGTGGGATAGGGTAGATTCAACATTAACAGAATGACCAGAAAATTGACTCTGAAGAAATGTTTGCCACCCTGAAATTGCATTGGGTTCCTTTAAAGCTTTGCTTACTTGAAGGTATCTGCAAAGATGTCGCTGGCCAGGACGTAGCGGCACGCCCCCTTGAACTGGTACACACTGCCGTCAAACGTGCGGAAGTTGTGCTGGCCCCACGTGGCACAGTGGCCCTCCTGGTCCGGCGGCACCACGGCTGGGAATAGAAAACATGAAGTGATACTTAGCCCACAGCAAGTAATTTTACATAATATTATGTACATATGTACTGCGCTTAGCCCTCATGGGCACGAATGTGCAAATAAACATCATTATCATTGTCTGCGCGTATACAGAAGTCAGGTGCCAACAGTTCCGACAGAAAAATCCCATCAACGATATGTCTCATGAATAAACAGCGTTGTTTTATCACAAAAATGTACTAAATTTTGAGGTTCATTGTTCGAGTTTTCAACTTCCTTTTAAACTGTACTCACCCCTTGTCTGGATCCCTGGGTTAACAGGCGAACCAGAGGCGGTCACCGGGGACGCAGTGGCTGCAAGGAGACGGCGAGAAAGGAACAACTAGACTTAGTTAGTTTTTGGATAAATACCTGTTCAACTACAGAATTACTGACCAAAATTATTGGGTGCTACACAAAATGTCTACACAGTTGCTTGAGCAACTATTTTCTTGTGTAACAAATAGCAAGTTAACCCATCATGTGGTTTCACGATGTAGATATCATGCAAGCCATGATATTTAAAGGCTCTATGTTCCTGCAACAGCAAGCACAATATGCGGTGTACAACACATCAGTTCATCTGTGTTGGTAGAAGTCATTCCGGAGCTAAGGTTTGAACTGAAATTTTCAACACAAACAAATGGACTAGTGCTTGCAGAAATTTTCGACTGATCAACTGGTATTAAACAGTCCATTTTTTGGTGTTAGAAATTACGGTTCTAGTCTGTTTCGGGACGAGGAGGATACAAACATTTGGGATTGTGTTCTCGACGCAAAAGCGCCACCTACCTAGAGGAGGCGAGAACCAGTACTCCAGTCAGAAGCTTTGAATAAGGTGTCTGATAGACATCAAAACGTAAGCAAGTGACCATGAGAGTTGTTATCAGTTGTGTCAAAAGAAACTCCCGGTATTCTGAAAGTTACTCACGGACGCAGTCAGGGAACCCGCCCGCCGGAGACCACTTGCCGTCCACGCACTTGAAGCTGGCCGGACACGGTCCCGCGAACTGGTATCCCTCCAGACACGTGGGCACGCATACCTGGGGAAAGGAACCAAACAATATAGTCAATTTAAAAAGATAGGTAAATGTAGTCGTGTGGCGTAACGGCAGAGCATTCGGCTCAGAACCAAGAGGTCCCGGGATCAAATCCTGCCATGTTACCAACCTTGTGCCCTTGGGATATGCACGACTGAATATTTTTCCGTCATCTCAATTTTGTTTGATGTAACATCATGTCGAACGCTGGAGCCATTGGTGCGACAGTCCTGCCGGGTTTAGAGGCACCCTCCCCCGGGAAAATTGTGAAATTTTTACCCCCTAAAAAACCAATAAAACGAATTTTGTCCGTAAAATATGATGGATTGGGCAAATTTTTGTTCGCCCTGAGCAGCAAAATTCCGTAAATTGCAATGTTAAGAGTCGGCTAGAACACTGATCGAAATCATGCTGTAGTTCTACGAAATATAATTTGAGACAGACTATTCACAAGTCATCCTCCTCTAACCGTACTATATGATTGCAGACGTCACAAAGTGATGTTTTACCTGAGAGTTTTTTTTATTCACACATTGGCGAAAGTAATATAACACAGAGTGACTTAGCGCACTCAAGTAACAAGGACTCATGTATATTAACGCTACCACATAACAGAACACATTGATTCATACAAAAAAATCAAATATAAATGAATTGAAATACGAAAGATAATAGATATAGATATGTAACACAACGTGAACAAAGATTTTGGAAGCGTAATACAAGGGGAATCTGAGTTTTAGAAGCGATTTTTTGCAGTAATGAATTGTTAAGTAAATGACTAAATATCTACCTGAGTTCCCATGCTGTCCGTTTGGCAACTGATCATGCCGTTGGTGGGAGCCCCGAGGACAGGGCAACCCGTGTAGGCGCTGAAAAGGAATAAATTGAAATACCTTTATTGTACATTCATGCCACGACGGGCTAGGTACAGGTCAAGATATAACAGACACATAACAAACGTATGTAGAAAAGTGTAGACAACACTACTTGACTTAGACAAACATAAGGAACATACAAGGATACTATACTAGGCTAATTAATACAAAGTGTTCTAGCTATTGAGCTGATACAGAGTGGTCAACTTCTCGCTTTTATGTACAATGGAAAATGTGGGAACAGATCATGTTTGTAATACATTGTTTGTCTAGACGCATCAAAAATATAAGTTTGCCGTTTGCATCTAGGTGTTCAAAGTATGGGAACTTCTCTTTGATATGATTAAAAAGGACAGATCTTTCATTAGAATATAAAGTACAGTCTAAAATAAAGTGTTGTTCATCTTCTATTCTATTCATGTTACAGTATTGACAGAGAATCAAGTTTTCACCAGAATGTTAACCTGTCATAGCCTCCTTCGCAGACTTGTTGGGTGGCGGCATTATTATTTTTTGGGGGGGTGAGCGACGCGAGTTATGCCGCGGAGGGACGATTTTGCCGCCGAGAGAGTTTTGCTACGGAGAGAAGGTATCCCGCTCCAACAAGCCTCTCCGTGGCAAAACTTCCTCGGCGGCAAAATTGTCCCACCGCGGCATAACTCGCGTCGCTCACCCCCAAAAAAATCATGCCGCCACCCCACAAGCCTGCGAAGGAGGCTAAACCTGTCGCATGGCATCAAGGCATCAAGTTTAATTGAAACGCACAAGGACTATGCACCGGCAATGATGCATTGTGAATTCGTAAAACAATGTGCTGCTCTCAGTTTGTTTGCAGATAGATAACTTCTACACAGGCCTCAGAAGAGTAGAAATTGACCAACTAGACAGATAACATACCAGGGGAGTTGTTCCGCTAAAAGTCAGAGTACAATTTGCCGCTCATTTCTACTCTTTCCAGCCACTTCTGAAGCCTGGTAGATGGTTCCTGAGACTCTGTCCCGTTTTAGAACTTTTAAATTAAAGATTTACACTACTTCGGTTTTGGTCACAATTCAACGAATTCATTGCGGTCTGTGCAGACGCCTACTAATCTAGGATATAAGTGACCAAATGTATCCAGCGTTTCAAATGTAGCATAACTTTATTATTCTCTAAGAATTCCTTTTGGTAACTGTGATTTTTACTCATTCATCAAGATTTCCCAACCTTCACTAGGCCTTCCTACGGGTGTACGGATCGTAGAATTCGGTAAAAAAAATGGACGAATGATAGGCCTGGGCAGCTCGTCGCAAGAAGGTTAATTTTCTGCATAGTAAAATAACTCTACGGTGGCAACAAACTTCCCAGGCAAATAATTCCCCCTATTTGGCTAAAGCCTCGGTCACAACTCGCCGTACGTGCTTCTGCGTGCTGTCTACGTGCAAAAACGTGGGCAAACGTACGGCATCCGTGCGTGGTGAGTACCGCCTCCGTACGGAATCCTACGGATTTGGGAGCACGCAGACACGCCGTAGAACCTTAAGTGCATGTAATACTTTTTCTACGTGCGGTCTGCGGATTTACCACCCGTGCGTGCGAGTACGTGCGACGCGCGTGCCCCGTACAGCCTATGAGCGTGCAACGTACGGACTCCGTGAGTCTAACTTCACTATTCTCACGTGCAATTGCTGTACGGACAGCGCACGAAGCACGTGCGTGCCACGCACGGTGCTTGCGTCATCCGTGCTTACTCCTCACTTCCCAGTTGACCTGCTCAATGACCACGCAGAACACACGTGCACCATACTAGGTGCTCCGCACGTGCAACGCACGTGCAACGCATCTTATTTCTACCGTATATAAAGACGACTTGACGGGCGACTGCCAACTCGTCTCCAAGATGCCCAGGAAGGCTCAAAAGAAGTCTACCAGACAAGATCCAAAGAAACGGGCCGCGGAAGACACCAGGGCGGCTAGTGATGATGAAGTTATCAGGAGGTGCACGCACTTACAACGTGCGAGTGAGTAAGGAAATCGTGCGCACGCCGCACGTGTAGGTACGGCCTGTACGCGGCAACGTGGCAATCGCACAGAGATCGTACGTTGTAAGCACGTACAACTCACTTACCACTTGCGCAACGTACGATGCACGCAACCGCTGACGGCCAGGCGTGTCGTGCAGACCACGTACGTACACCTTGCGAGTGACGTACTCCCTCGGCCGGCCACCCTACGTTTGCAGAAAAAACGTAGCAGACGTAGCCACGACAAAAACGTACGGACAAAAAGCACGCACGGCGAGTTGTGACCGTCGCTTAAAATAAACTGCTTTTAGCCTGGTAGAGAGACTAAAAAGATTGGCAACTACAAAGAAACATGAATAGTACTTACGACACCGACGATCCTGCCAAAAGCAGGAAAAAGATGACGGCACTCTCTCGTGCCATATCTCTTGTCTCTCTCCCCTCCGGTAGAATTACTTACGATCTCTAACTAGAATTATTCTCACAGAGGTTCGTCAAATGTTGGTCTACAGAGCAGAATGTGCTCTGGCACTGATTTTAGACGCCGTGGCGGCGGATATTTATACGTCTCCGTTGGTATTGACCTCATCCTCCAGTCCCGGATATCTGTCCAGGATGCCGGGTGGCGCGAAGGCTGAGCAAACTGCTCAAAACACGTCTTCAAACGCCGCGCACGGCTAAGCCGCGCCTTGTTTAAACATTTTTGGCAAACTATCGGAAAACTCACCAAAAACACTCGATAACTATTGGCGTGTAAGCGCTTTGGTTGTTGACCAACTGTGCCTCAAGAGTAGAAATTTACGTAAAAGAAAAAATCGAAAATGCGATTGTGTAAGTGAAGTAAGGTGCTGATGTACAGAAATGAATGAGGATGTTAGCTTTCACGTATTCCTAGAGGAAAATCACAATCACAAGTTTGAATGTCTATCATTTTCTTTCCAGTCGATTTTCGCATGTGCTTAATGTTAATAGTTGTAAGGTCTCATTTAACCTGTAAGTAATTTAGTGCGCATTTCTATCAAGGCGTGGTGGCGTCTCTTCCACACGATAGAAACAGCAGCGTTTTGCAGGTCTCCTCAAAGCAAATCGTGACGTCTCGAGAAAACAAAAAGGGGATGTCAGAAAAACGGTACAAAACGCAAAACAACCAAAGGCAGCCATACGTTGGATTTAAAATGTAGAAAGGGGTCTTCCAAGAAGACCCATCTTCCGAGGCTGAGTGTCTGCAGCCGTAATGTCTTCACAAAACTTTTTCACTTCTCTCTGGTCAACTTCTGTCGTTCCCACTGTTATAAACGACCCAAATTTCTGCCGGGTTAGCCTCTACCAGATTTCAGATGCCGCTGGAAAAGTAGAAAATGGCCAAGAAGACAGAAAACATGCCAGGGGAGTTAGTCCGCTAATTAATATAAAGGAGTATAGTTTGCCGCTCTTAGAATCTTAGAACCGTAACTGTAACGTTACTCCTTTAGTAGAAGAACTCCCCTGGCATGTTATCTATTTTGCCAATTTGTTACTTTTTCCAGTCGCCTCTGAAGCTTGGTAGAGGATACGAGATGGTCACCATGCAGAAAAAAAAACCTGTTATTTCCATGCCGTTCATGACAATCAATTTTCTCACGCCCTTGTTCATGAAACCCGGAGAACAGCTGCGCCAGTATCCGATATTTAGGTCCGGGACGTCCCTAAAAGATCGAAATGGATCGTTTCCCGCATTTACTTCTTGAAATTTTTTGGTTTGTCAAAATGTTATACAAGAGACTCGCGAGTAGGGGTGAAACGATTGTGTTATTCAACAGGTAGAGAGCATGCTGGGATACGTGCAGATGGTCACATCCATCCCATAATACATTGCGATTGTTAAATTTGGACCTACGATGTTGACTAGTGATCATCTGCAACAGATAGGTATGTCTAGAAAAATTTATCATTAATGTTGAAAATCAATGTTTCTAATTTTTTTCCTGAAAAACGTAGGTTCGGTAGGTGGGGGTTTCTAGTTTTTTCCTCTTTTTTTAAAACTTTTTTTTTTAGATTTGGACTAAAATGATCCAACAAATTTCGAACAAGGACGGTTTCCAGGACATATTCCTCCGTTTTCTTGTTGAAAAATGTTTCGCCCGGTTTCCTGAAGAAAAAATTACTTCTGAAAATGTGTGCGATAAAATGAAGCTTGAAAATTGAACATTTTATGGCCTTACCAGCGGTCAATTAAAAAAAGACTAGGGTAGACGGATTTTGCTAGGATCGATTGGGACCCCGTAAACACAATGTTTTCCCTCTAAGGGAAATTATTTTTCAGACTTCATACTCCCGTCGATTTTCCGTGCACTATCAATTGGAAAATGCTTTTCTGTACAATGATTTCGATCAGTAACCACTTTCCTCCGAGCCACATGCACCAGTTCCCACCAGCTTTTAGCTTCTTGCCTACAACTAAAACGTCTTTGAATGTTGTGTCAGCCGACACTTAAGTGTTCTTCAAGTGGTTTGGATGGGAGTGCTTCCAGAAGAATCAGCACATTTTAACAGTAGGTCGATCAACTTGAAAAAAATCAATGTTTTACAAGCAAACATTCTTGAGCTGGTTGTGTAAGAAAGAACCCCTTTATCCAAAACAAGAGAAGTACGAATGTTCTAGATGGTATTCTTTGGGTGTGGTGACTATCTAAAGTTGGTAGTAGTAGAACGTACATTAACATCATTAACTAGACTTATTAAAGACATCAAATGTAATTTCAGGGTGGCAAAAGAAAAATATTATATGAGGAAATCTGTAGGATGATTACATGCACTGTCATTGCTTAGCACAATTTCATCATCATTTTATACTTGAAGCGTTTGAAATAGCCCAAAAACATGGTACATGCATGGGGAGTTGCTAAAGTATAAAGTAGAACCAGCCTAGGATAAAAAACAAGCAACCGTTTTTCATCTGCTCATTTTTTGCCTCACAGATATCAGTATGCTATGAGATAGGACTGATTTAACTTACTACATTAAAGGAATAACCAGAACAAACAACCAGTTTTGCCCTCCCTGAAATTGCATTGGAGGCATTTAAAGTCAACAACAAAGTTTAGATGAATACCATACACACTTTCAAACCTGGCAAAGTCTAGAAATAAAGCTTACTTGGCTTCAATTTATCCAGACCTACAGTTCAATCTTCTCACCTAGCCTTCTCTCCTGGCGCCTGTAGACCTGGTCTGCCAGTCGTCAGCCTCAGGTCAGGTTCCTCCATGCTGCCCTGTCTTGTGTCAGGTTTTTCACTTCCTCGAAGTCCCTCTGGGTGATCCCTCTGATCTGATCTTCCCACCTCTTTCTTGGTCTGCCAGGTGGTCTTTTCTTGGGTTTGTCTTGGGTTTCCAGTTGAATATACCCCTTGGTATCCCTATCCTCTGGCATCCTCAGTACATGCCCAAACCATCTCAGCTGGTTTCTTTCTATGATGATCAGTATGGACTCCACTGAGAAAGAGCTCCTTACAGATCAATCTAGAACATTCTAACACACTCTGAAGGACATGGACAAAGCTTGTAGACAGAAACATTTTATTGCAAGTCACTATTTGTTCCAACTTTTTAAACATTTGCTTATAAAGCTTTATGAACTAAAATAATTTTGCTTGCACTATGATGTTGCTACCACTATCCTACAATTCAGTTCATTTGCTACTACTGCTAATGTCAATGAATCTATTTTAAAGGTCAGATTATCAAGTTGCACATGTAACATTGCACAGCCTTTATTTCAGACCACCATAATCTGTAATGTGTAATCTGTATTTCTGGTTACCAAATTACAGTACATTTACAGTGGCATAGGAAGTATATTTGTCTTTGTCTGTGTTAGTTACAACCTACATGTAACTTGAAAACCCTCTAAAACACACTAGTAATAAATATAAGGATTGATGTTCCAAAGAAATGGAAAATGATTATGTACAACAAAATACAAGACCAGATAGGCAAAAAAAATGCTGTGGTACTACTAAGCAAAATCGACTGTACAAAAGAAAACTGAATAAATGCCATTATATATATATACATGTACATCAATCACATACAGAATTGTATAATGGTTGGATTCAGAGAAAGAGAAAGTAAGTGACATCATTTTCCAGATTTATCACTAAAAAAAGGAGACATAGATCAAGACCAAAAATTACCACTTCAAATCGACATTAACTTTAACACTTTTCACTCTACATAGTTGTGAAAGTAAAGAACTATCAGTAGTTTGGAGCAGCAATAAAATGTTTGAGACAGTATCAACCTTTATATTCATACAACTGGCTGGACATGCACATTGTATGGCTTGCCTGTACAATTTTGATATGTTTCAACTGATACATGTTTCCAAAAGCCATCAACCATCTCATTTCACCTACATGTTGTAGTATCCCACTTGCAATACAACCAAAATAAATGTATTACTAAACAGTGTTGAACAAGCTGCCATTTTGATCAGGGGAAATCAAGGTTAAAATGTTTTCGCAAGAAATAGAAGACTTCCAGTGTATGTCTTTGACAAGTTACCACAAACACCCTACTATTAAAATTAGGATACAAAAAACATTTTTTTCCAGATTAAGCCCTGTATGTACTCTACCAGGCTTTGGGAAGCAGCTGCAAAGAGCCTTTGATAAATTGGCCAAGTGGACACATATTATGCCAGGGGATTTGGCCCACGAAAGAGTAGAGTTTACCACAGAGCCAGTTTTGAAAGAGTAGAGTTTACCACAGAGCCATTTTTTGTTGGAATAATGGTGGAATAGCTTTTGTACAGTTTCATCATACATGTACATGTAGCTTCCCCCAACAGGCTTTGGGAGTGGCAAACTGTACTCTTTTGCAGACCAACTCCCCTGCATGTCATCTGTCTATTTGTCCAATTTCTATTCTTTCCAGCCACTTCCAGAAACCTGGTAGAGGCTACACTATATGGCCAAAAGCATTCTTGCATTGCAGTCTTCCCACTTTGCTGCCCATGTACATGTATCCTTCAGAATGATCTAGTTGGTCTTTCGCACTTTAAGTTTCTTCCTATGTCGTGCTGACTCCTCCCCACTGTTATCCCCATCTGTGGTCATGCCTCTCCAGCTTTGTCCCCTTTCAAACAACTGCTGCAGGAAGGGTAGCACCTGTGGGAGTGTTATAATTGTATGCCATTTGTTTGATTGACTTGAGTAATACTTACAATAGTGCCCTGCACTCTTAAAAATTGGAAGGTGTGGCCAAACAGTAAGGACCTTTCATTTTGCAGAGGGAAAACATATTGTATTTGCTCTGTTTCTTCTTCTCTTAACACATAAGGTCAATAACCTGGTCTAAATGTCTGTCACCATGGTAACTGGTGTTGTTGCAGAAACCCTGTGGTGACGGATTACATTATGTAGCAAGTGACAGAGCTGAAGGGGATGCTCACCATATACATTGTATATGAATGTGTTAAAGTAAGAATAAACAAGCAGTAGTTTGTTAGGCTAGAGCATGTGAAGGTAAAAATTATGCATTTCCTTTGCAAATGTTACTATAATTATTGTTGCTACATTTTGCTAGCATATCATATCTGAAAAAATTCAGGTTACACAATATCTTCACAAGCAAACATCCTTTTCTTGCAAAATGTATTCATCACTGAGGGCTTACCTTGTCATAGTGATACCCAGCCAGCAGTAGCAGCAGAGTTACAGGTAGGGACAGGTAGGACCCGTCCGTAACGTCGATGTTGTTGGCTTTCTGAATGGGGGTGAACTCCAGGGTGATGTGTTTAAACGGTCCATTGGCAGTGAAGGCTACACTCGGTGTGGTGTAGTCAAAAGCACCCCTGTCAAAATAGCGTTTTAGAAATACCCGTCCGCAGTCTGCATTTTGCAGAGAAATTTTCAATGTGGCAGAAGAAATATTAAGCAATTTTAGAGACTGAAAAAATCAGGAACTAGGGTTCAATGGTGTCTGCATGACATTGTATAATAATATTGTTTAGGAGATTTTGTGCTTACTACTGACTTTATGATAGTTATATGCATTGTATTTTTTGTACATTTATGTACAAGTATTTACAACTTGCAGAACAATTACTTATTTGTGACATTCTGCAATATTACAGAGCACTGAAAAAGTATTTCTGCCACTGTCATTATATGTTACAACCAAGATTTTGTCTTAAGTTGGTTTAAAATATTTGTAAAAAGAGTATTTCAAACCTTGATTACTATTGTTACTAACTAGACATCTTTATCTAGGTATTCAAACATTTTTGTATCACAATGGGTTCAAAAATTGAAAGTTTGATGTATCTAAAATTGACTCAAGTGTACATGTATTCTGAGCTGCTCTTTCTTTCTGTTACAAGTTTGGAACCCTTACCGTGATAATGTTGACTCCAGACTCAAAACATAGCGCTGTTCATTGCTGACCAGAGGTGGGAAGTCAAAGAAACTGGAGGATCCTAAAGTCACAGTGTGTACTGGAAGGTCCATGTTGTCCTCCTGGTATAGTACAACCTGCCATGGATTAAAAAAAAGAGCTGGTAAATTAACAATCCTCAATTCTGGGGGCTGACATCGTTTACCTTTGAGCCAGTGTTGACATCACACTACTTTAGAGAAGCCATGTGACATGCCATGTGGGGCAGTTTATTGAAGAAGACCAGAGTGACTGGTTGAAAGCTCAATGCAGCTTTGTGTTGGAAAAATATTAACTTTTAACAATCCTTAATTTGGCTTTGATTTTCATTACATTAAACTATTTTTATCAATATGTCTGTACAACTATTGGCATGATTCAGCATCATTAGAACTGCAGCGGGCAGCTGTAAAATGCTCTGCACATCTTCTTGCCATCTATGCTCAAGACAAGGTTGTATATTTTTTGAGGTGCCATACCAAACAGCTAGAATCAGCCTATGATACAAAACAAACAACCATTTTCCGTCAGTGACATCGCATTTTTGCCTCACAGATATCAGTATGCTATTGTGATAGGATTGATTCAATTACCGTATTAAAAGAATGGCAAGAAAATTGACTTCAAAGTCCACTTATGCCACCCTGAAATTGCATTGGATGCCTTTACCATAATGCTCACCTACATGTACAAGTAATTATAATCTTGACAATGTGAATTAGCTTCTCATAGGTAAAAGCCCTTACCTTCAAGGTGTTTAAGTAGTTCTCAGCGGTGACAACATTGCCACTCAAGTCAAAGTGGTTCAGACTGTGCAGGACAATGATTTGGACTCCATGGACGTCCCCATCTGTGACCTATGCACGGAAAAAAACACTCTTCAATTCTATATAATGCATTATGCAATTATAGAAAGTGAGAACTTTGTGAACTCATGTCATTTAGCTTCTGTACACTTGAAGAAGCCCAAAGGGCAAACCGACTGTAACAGGCTGAATAAAAGTTCTAAATGGAAACTGTGGCTCCAGATGTTACTGAGGGACAACTGCGGTGTGCTAGACGTCAGTTAGCTTGAGGAATGTATCAGCGCTATACACAGAATTATTCTGGTCTTTAGAAAGGAGAAAGGAACATGCCTGAATAACTTTGTGAGGAGGAATCCCTGTCTGTCCCCCTGCAGCAGAGCTGAGCAGACCCACGTGGTACTCACAGAATGGCTGGAGGCCACGCAACCGGAAACCACCTTATTGAAAAGTAACAAGAGGGATATCAAAATTAGTCCTCTCACACTTACAACATTACTGAAGTTTTACATGTATTTGTGCATCATCTGATAGCCCATTTTAACTTTTACTTGACAACAGTTATACAATGTACATGACTTATTGACGTATATTACACTCCTGTACATTTGGGACCATATTGTAGATACTGTTGCCTGTAACTGTGTATGTCATAATGTAAATACTTGCATTTGAACTTGCATTTGGAAATGCATCTAATAGATTGAAGCAACACCTATGCTGTGCAATATTATCCAGTTAGAATTGCCCTAAGGAAGGTCACAGCATGTCACTGAAATGTCAGCTGAATAAAACACTATGTCTTGGTTGTGTAAAGAAAGAGTTTCTTTATATTATATTCAGTGACTCACCCAACCTAATAAAACTATGTGTGGATATGAACATTACAAGATATACAGGTACTGTACCTTCTGAATCAGTGGTGGTCTCCTCCACAGCATTAGAACAGTTGGCCACTCCCTGAGCTCTCACTGTCAGCCCTGGCTCTGCCTCACCATTCAGGGATGTCAGACGGCCGTAACAACTGTAACACAGAGGACCTTCATAGTAACATACCCGGAGGGAACTTTCATAGGACTTTATGTCATACCTGTACCGTGGCCGACAAGAACAAAATTTTACACCGCAACTTTTGGTGTTTTACACCGCAACTTTTGGTGTTTTACACTGCAACTTTTGGTGTTTTACACTGCAACTTTGGGTGTTTTACACTGCAACTTTTGCTGTGTTTTACACTGCAACTTTTGCTGTGTTTTACACTGCAACTTTTGGTGTTTTACACTGCAACTTTTGCTGTGTTTTACACTGCAACTTTTGCTGTGTTTTACACTGCAACTTTTGCTGTGTGGAAAACTTACACCCCTCCCCTTTTATAATGGACGGTCCCCCTGTCAGGTCAAAGGTGACAACGATGGCATGCAAACTACGTCGACTGAGTTATCCTTTTCGTGCATACAATCGACCGTACCGTGGCCGACAAGAAAAGATGGCGTATAATGTAAACAAAAACAGCGATCGCTCGTATACAAATGTAGAATAATATTGTATACAATATTTATAGTTAATAAGACATCTAATCATTGTTAATTAGTCAATCACTAATTTATAAACTGTCATCATGGAGGCAATACAGTGTTGTGTAAGTATAGTAAAGTTAGAACACAAAGAAGAACAGACAGAATTATAAATCATCAATTTATTCACAGCTTGATCAATTTCTTAAGATCCCATTCTGTTGATGTCTCACACTCAGTCACAGCACGACACTGTGACTCTCAGGCCGCCGCCATCTTTGTCACCTTTGACCTGACAGGGGGACCGTTCATTATAAAAGGGGAGGGGTGTAAGTTTTCCACACAGCAAAAGTTGCAGTGTAAAACACAGCAAAAGTTGCAGTGTAAAACACAGCAAAAGTTGCAGTGTAAAACACAGAAAAAGTTGCAGTGTAAAACACCCAAAGTTGCAGTGTAAAACACCAAAAGTTGCGGTGTAAAACACCAAAAGTTGCGGTGTAAAATTTTGTACTTGTCGGCCACGGTATACCTGGGCTGTGATAATGTTCTACCTGTATATGGCTGTTCTGGCCCGTGTGATTTACTAGCAGTAGCCTCCGATGATACGGAATATACCAATGAATTCTACATGTATCAAGTTGAGTGTAATGCCAACAAAGCAATGACAGGCTGGAAGAATTAGGTTTGCACAAGGAATAATGTATCTAAAATGATAATTATCACTTGGATACTTGTCTGTTAGCTGACATTAAAACAGTACATTAATTTTTGCAAGCAGCTACATGTAATCTTTCTCGACAATCTTCCCAGACATCACTCGTTGTACATTGTACAGTACGAATACTTAGTCACATTTTTCTTTACATGCTGCTAGGGAAGAAAGAAAAGATACATCTATATGGACAGGAATATCATGTTACATTGTACATACCTGAAGGACACCCGAGTGCCCACCACCTTAACATTGATACTGCTGCCTTCCTCCAACTCAATCATCTGTGATGTAGGGTTAAACTTGTATTCCTTCATCATGGCACGGAAGAAGTATTGTTTGGGGCCCTGGAAACACACAGAGATATTGATGTGTCATTGATATGAATGTATCATGATGTTAACTTGTGTCAGCTCTGTTTACAGCTTACAATTACAAAGGACAAGTGTCACCAGACAAAAGAGAGAGACAAGAAATCTGAGAACTCAAACCTCTGAAAACCAAGGTTGTGAATGACATTTTGTCAGGCCATGCCCCGTTTTGTCAAATAGTATAACCCTGACGCATACACTTTGACAACAGTCCCTAACATTAGATGTTCACACACGTGTTACACAGGGGTGTCCAATAATAATTCAATTTTCAATGCCTGAAATCACTGATGGAATTAAAAACATTCCGCATCATCATCATCATACCTAAAAAGTAATCATATACCAAAAATCAAAGAAATCTGTCAAACCTGCCGTGAGTTACAGCTACAAAGTCGGGCAACACACAAACAATACAAAAAAAGTACCCATCCACGATCTCCCTCCCTGGAGGTAATGAATAAAGGAAAGAAAAAATACATGGATACATACCAGATTATAGAAGATAAAAGCTCCATCCTGATTGGTGAGATTGTTGTTCCTGTAGTCCCCTCCACTGAGAGACAGTAACACACCTGACAGAGGACTGCCTTCTTCATTCAGCACCTGTAGGATCGGGGGTATCACAAACAACAATATATTTACAAGAAAGCCCAAATGATTAAAAATTAGATACTATACATGTAGCTGTGTTATAGCCAGCATCTGTCTTTCCATCATTTGACTGAATTTTGCTGCCTATGACAAGCAAAAATTTTGCCAAATCTGTTAATGTTGACCGATAAAAATTGGTGCGTAAACATATGGAAAGAGATGTCATTAAACTAAGCTTTAGTCTACCAGCAAAATTTGCCCCTTGAAATGCTTGTAATACTGTGTTTCAGGGGGTCAGGATTTGGACTTTCCCACCTCTGGTGCAAAGTCTTGTGCCTCTGGTGCTCGACATGATGCTAAATCAAACAAAACTGAGAAGATAGGAAAAATTTCAGGCTGGCTAGAACACTGCTGCAGCTATTTCAACATTTCATTTCTACAAGCAGTAAAATAGTGTACTACAGGTTAAATGCTGTGTCTAGCAGTGGCATATCAAGTTTGCTGCCAAAAATGTCTCCTGATGACTGGAAGTATTGCATTAGATTTGAGGCTAATAATCTAAGGACTGAGTCTTTGTTGCCTCACCTGAACACTGATCTGCCCAAGTTTGGAGGCAGCAAAAGAGTGAGGATTGTCTGGCAGTGCTTTCAGCACATACCCATCCAGGTGTGCATGTACCTCATACTCAGTACCACTCCAGAATGGCCCCACTCTGGAAAACAGGGAAACCAATTCAGTAACAGGGATAAATCTAGAACTAGAAATGTAACATTAGCAAATGCTTGATGTTTACCTTAATGTAGTCTATACCCTAACAAACTACCGCAGCACTTTTTAACAGTTGCTCAAAAGACATGTATAATTGTAGGGAACAGCCTCTCCAACTCTGTCAGGCTGCTTGCTACATGATGTAATTATAACCCAACACCACAGGTGTCTGCTACAGCATCAGTTACCATGGTGACAGACATCTGGTCCAGGACATTGACCTTATTTGTTTGGAAAAGATGAAGAGCAAGAAGAAGAAGAAGATCAAAAACAATACTATGATATTTTCCTTCTGCGAAGAAAGAAATTAATCAAGTAAACGATGAAACTGAAAGTTGTTAGCCAAGAACTGACCTGTACTCTCCGGCTGCATTGGTCTGTGTGGTCACTTCCTTCTGTTTTGAGGCCCCTTTTCCAGGCTTGACTGCCACGGTAATGTGTACGCCAGCCTGGGCGGGATGCACACTGCCTGTGACAAACATCCCTCTCTCACCCGTAAACGATGCTTTGCTGTCAGCAAGAATAGAGAATATCAACATCCATCTCATTGTGCTGGAGTAGCTGTTATATATTTAGTATTATTTCCATCAATATTTCCATGGCAAATGCTCAGTGGAACCTCACTTGTTGAGCCCAGACTTTCAGCTTTCTCAGCTACATGTAGGACGTGTTTTGCCACTTCTACAGAAGCAAATCACCCGAAGGCTTTCTTCTTCAATACTCCATCTCTCAGGAGGAAGTTCCACGCCAAAAGCTTCTTTCCTAGAACTACATACATCACTGTGGAACAACCTCGCTTGTGAATGCGTCCCAAATGCGTACAATTGTAAATTTTTCAAGTCTAAGGTAATCAAACATCTGTCTTCACAGTCCATTAATTGTAACTCAAAACATGTGAGTGATTCTTATAACGTTTTGTCATTAAAATTGAAGTAGATTAAAAAAAATCTACAACACCTTGTGTATGACTCTTTCTTGCAAATGTCCATCTCTCTGTCTTACTTAGATTCAATTTTAGTAAGTACTATAAATATTGGATTGGATTGGAATTCTCACAACAATTATATGGGACACAGGCAGCAATTGCTTGTGTGCTCATCCATACATTACAAAACATATATCAAGACAATTATTATGTAATATAGAATTTAAGAAATGATGGTGTAAATGATAGATCCCATACCCTGCAGGACAGCTGTCTCCTGTGACTATCAGTTTGGTGCTGCCTGGTGTGAACAGCAGCTGGTCGGCTGATGGTTTCAGTATGATCTAAAAAATAGTGACCAAAATTAGCATTGAGAGGCACTGCCCAAAATTTCCCCATTAACCTAATAAAGTGACCCAGCCAGCAATGTTTTACATGTTGTACATGTACATTGCACAAAGACTGTCATGCTGTCAACGGCAAACTGGACGATTCCATCAAGATTTTCTATATTCCAACATTTCATGGCTAGACATGGTGATGGCAGCACACTTAAGTTATATCAACCTTATTTTATTTTATACCGCCAGCAACACAGAGGACAAATACAGGACAGGACACTCATTTTCACTTAGCTCATTTTCACTTGAGCTAAGTGAGGAAAGTTAGGTGAAGTGCCTTTCCCAAGATTGGTGGAATGTCAGGACTTAAACCCAGGATTTCGTGGTTCTGAGTCAAGCACTCTGCCGTTATGCTACACGACCCACACTGTATTTCACCCAAAGGTTCCCACCTGCTCTCCAGTTGTAGCCCAGTAGGAGAACTGGTATGTATATGGGCCCTGGTGTTCTGCAGGGGGGGCCGGGGTGTCCTTAGGTTTCTTCTTGTCTTTGCTTTTCTTGCCTTCAGATTTTCCTCCCTTATCTTTATCTTCAGAACTCTTCTCTGGGCTGTCCCTGAGTTGATGGAAAATGGTTGACATAAGGCTCAAAGCTGCATTACAGTGTACACTGTATGTAACATTTAGAACGATACAAAAGTCAATTTTTGGTCATATTTCTTTACAAAGTACATGTAAGTCGAATTGACCAATNAGTTACCATGGTGACAGACATCTGGTCCAGGACATTGACCTTATTTGTTTGGAAAAGATGAAGAGCAAGAAGAAGAAGAAGATCAAAAACAATACTATGATATTTTCCTTCTGCGAAGAAAGAAATTAATCAAGTAAACGATGAAACTGAAAGTTGTTAGCCAAGAACTGACCTGTACTCTCCGGCTGCATTGGTCTGTGTGGTCACTTCCTTCTGTTTTGAGGCCCCTTTTCCAGGCTTGACTGCCACGGTAATGTGTACGCCAGCCTGGGCGGGATGCACACTGCCTGTGACAAACATCCCTCTCTCACCCGTAAACGATGCTTTGCTGTCAGCAAGAATAGAGAATATCAACATCCATCTCATTGTGCTGGAATAGCTGTTATACATGTATATTAGTAATTTCCATCAATATTTCCATGGCAAATGCTCAGTGGAACCTCACTTGTTGAGCCCAGACTTTCAGCTTTCTCAGCTACATGTAGGACGTGTTTTGCCACTTCTACAGAAGCAAATCACCCGGAGGCTTTCTTCTTCAATACTCCATCTCTCAGGAGGAAGTTCCACGCCAAAAGCTTTTTTCCTAGAACTACATACATCACTGTGGAACAACCTCGCTTGTGAATGCGTCCCAAATGCGTACAATTGTAAATTTTTCAAGTCTAAGGTAATCAAACATCTGTCTTCACAGTCCATTAATTGTAACTCAAAACATGTGAGTGATTCTTATAACGTTTTGTCATTAAAATTGAAGTAGATAAAAAAAATCTACAACACCTTGTGTAGGACTCTTTCTTGCAAATGTCCATCCCTCTGTCTTACTTAGATTCAATTTTAGTAAGTACTATAAATATTGGATTGGATTGGAATTCTCACAACAATTATATGGGACACAGGCAGCAATTGCTTGTGTGCTCATACATACATTACAAAACATATATCAAGACTAGGGCTGCGGACCGGTACACTGTACCGGTCCAATACCGTAAAAATCGTTTCGGTACAGGTCCAAAATACCGGATCATGACGTAACGAGTATATACCGAAATAGCTAGTTTACACCATGTATATGACTAAAGATAGGTAAATCCTACCACAAAGACGAAAAATTAGCACTGGAAAAGACGTAAACACCGTCGATTGATTTGAGATCCTCAGTCTCACGAGACATCGCGAGAGTGTGGCTAATCCAGGGTTGTGATTGGTCAACAAACTCAAATCAGGTCATAAATAAAGATACTGACAAGTTGTCAACACTTTATTATTGTTTCTGTGTCATGATTGAAAAAGTGAAGAACACGTGTTAATTTGTCAAATTGTTCAGGTACAGGTACAGGTCCGGACCTGTACCTAAACCTCTGTACCGGTACCTGTACCTGTACCTGATGTTACGTTTAGGTACGCAGCCCTAATCAAGACAATTATTATGTAATATAGAATTTAAGAAATGATGGTGTAAATGATAGATCCCATACCCTGCAGGACAGCTGTCTCCTGTGACTGTCAGTTTGGTGCTGCCTGGTGTGAACAGCAGCTGGTCGGCTGATGGTTTCAGTATGATCTAAAAAATAGTGACCAAAATTAGCATTAAGAGGCATTGCCCAAATTTCCCCATTAACCTAATAAAGTGACCCAGCCAGCAATGTTTTACATGTTGTACATGTACATTGCACAAAGACTGTCATGCTGTCAATGGCAAACTGGACGATTCCATCAAGATTTTCTATATTCCAACATTTCATGGCTAGACATGGTGATGGCAGCACACTTAAGTTATATCAACCTTATTTTATTTTATACCGCCAGCAACACAGAGGACAAATACAGGACAGGACACTCATTTTCACTTAGCTCATTTTCACTTGAGCTAAGTGAGGAAAGTTAGGTGAAGTGCCTTTCCCAAGATTGGTGGAATGTCAGGACTTGAACCCAGGATTTCGTGGTTCTGAGTCAAGCACTCTGCCGTTATGCTACACGACCCACACTGTATTTCACCCAAAGGTTCCCACCTGCTCTCCAGTTGTAGCCCAGTAGGAGAACTGGTATGTATATGGGCCCTGGTGTTCTGCAGGGGGGGCCGGGGTGTCCTTAGGTTTCTTCTTGTCTTTGCTTTTCTTGCCTTCAGATTTTCCTCCCTTATCTTTATCTTCAGAACTCTTCTCTGGGCTGTCCCTGAGTTGATGGAAAATGGTTGACATAAGGCTCAAAGCTGCATTACAGTGTACACTGTATGTAACATTTAGAACGATACAAAAGTCAATTTTTTGGTCATTTCTTTACAAAGTACATGTAAGTCGAATTGACCAATGACGACCATACTCCATTGCAAATAAGTACCGTTCAGGAAGTGGTGGTACGAAAATATGAAACCTTACAAGTGTCTTTAAAAGCTTGAATGTCAGCTGTCAGCCATGTTTATTTACATTCTGGTAATTTGTGGTGGCACCAAAAAATGAGTGCGTTGGGTCACTTGACAAAAGTCTTTGGCCAAGCTGGCCAGGCTATTGGCCCGTAGGGCTCGAAATACTGGGTGCCAAAATTGGAGCTGTGCTTCCAATTTTTTTCTGTGGGTGCACTGTACGAATTTATCATATCAAATGTATAATAATACAGGATATTCTTGGCATCTAAGTGTCTGAAAAAAAAGTAAAATCTTTGTTGTAGCACTTGTTTAAGATTTTGAAGTTTCAGATTCAAGCTCAGAAGAGGAGCAGGAGCAGTAAGATCTGTAATTAGGTTTTGTTTTATACGGTGTACCCTAAAATTTTTGGTGCACCTAATTTATTTTTTTTTTAGGTTGGGTGCACCAGTGCACCTACATGTGCGTGTATTCCCAATAATTAATTTCGAGCCCTGGACCGAGTTGACCAGATTTGCCATGGGCCGAGTTGGTAATGGTCCCAGTCCTTCTAATGCTAATAATACAGCAGGACTGTAATTTATTTGGAATAATGCTAATTTATGCATGCTTACATGTCCTTGTCAGGGGGAGGGGGGTTGGTCTGCTCCGGGGTGACCTGGACGCTCCCGCCATCCGGCAGCGTGGAGATGGTGACCAGCAGGTCGTCGGACCTGTCCGGAGTGACCACGGTCCCTGTCACCAGGTGGTGGTCAGCGGTCAGTGTCAGGACCACAGGGCTGGACGTGTTGTAGGTGTACACCTCCGACTCAAACTGGTGACACGACTTTGGGGCCAGGTGGTACACACCTGCAGAGGGCATCATGGGATACATGGAAGAGGGCATCATGGGATATCAACATCCTCACAATGATCAGCATTTTTATCAAATCAAATTTTATTCAGTAAGGATCTCATATCATATGTACATGTACATAGGATTTTCAGTACAGATCACATTCAAACCATGATTTGTTACACTCCTTGTACTATGGTATGGGTAACATGTCATGAAGACTACTGTATCTATACCTGGTTGTGCCAAGCAGAACTTGTTGATGCCCCGTTTCAGGTCAAAAGATCCCACGTTGCGCCCGTTGCCGTCCTGGCTGAAGTGTAGACTGATATCGTGTGACAGGGAGCACTTCAACATGAACCCTGCAATACAAACATGAAAGCATTATATATACATTAAGTACAGTAGGGACAGGGACAGATACAGAGGTTTAGATCAGGACCTGTACCTAGCTGTACCAAAACAATTTGACAAATCAACATACAGTGTAGGTTCTTCTGAAGTTCCTTAATAACAATTATATAGAAACAACAGTAATAAACTTGACAGAATCTTTATTCAAATAAAACAGGACAGAACTAGTTGGTCTTATCATATGTCAAACAGAACCTTGTGTATTGTTGAATTCTGAGTGTACATCCTACAATACTCTACTCTATAGCTGTCTTGAAAGATTTCTTGCATATCATAAGTTTATGAGCAAGGGCCAGTTCTGGCCTAAGCATTTTGGCAAAGCAAGATAGGAAAGACTTGCTCCCTCTAGATGTCATTTTGGTCACCTCTGTGTCACATGAGGCCACTAGGGTAGTGGTACAGTTTATTGGTACAGTACTGGTAATTAGAGATTCTGAATCAGTACTTAACTGTAGGAACTGTACCTAATCAATTTTTGTGGTAGTGTACACACAGTACTAGTATGCAGTCCTAATGTAAATTCATCTAAACACATACATTTGTAGTATAATTATCAAATGAGCATGAGAATCATACATGCCATGGCAAATCATAACAGCCTGCCTACTAGACAAGGGTAGCAGGACAAGGATAACAAATCTATTTAACAAACTGAAAGATAACGTGGATGTACCAGTTTTTACCTGTTTGAACAAACACCAGGCCCTGAATGTCAGAGTTTGCTATGTCGACTGTCAGGCTGGCCTCTTTCCAGCACCACTGCTCCTGCTGAACAGTTACTGCACAGGATGGAAAAGTAACATTACATATGATGATATGATCAGTGAATACTGCAGAGCAGTCCTAATTGTAAGGTCAAGAAGTCCCAACTCAAAATCTTACATTGTATTAAAATGCAATACAGAAAGGTACATGTAAATGTCCATTTTCCTCAATAAAATCAAATAGCCGATATGTCCTGCTCAACATTTGGCAGAGTTCCCTCAACTATGGTTAGGACTCAGTAGTAGGTCGGGGCAAGGTTGGCTACTGTTGGGCTGTTGGGCTATGCCAGCTGAATGTGTCAAAATGTTTAAAACATTCAGGTGTGGACGGAAGGATCAGTAAAATTGGCAGTAAAATTTGACATAAATTTGATTTGATTTGTCTAGTAAGGTAGGCATGGCCTGAATTTGGTCAGGTTGTTTCGAACTTCAGCCAACGTTGAAACTCACCCGTATATTTGCCAGGAAGTACGTTGTTGAATGAGAAGGTGACAGTTTTCCCCTCGGAGGGTTCAGGCTGTGTGTGGACCAGGCTGCCTCCCTGGTCTGCACGCTGCAGGGACAGAGTCACCGAGCTGCAGGACTCGATACACTGCACAGAACCGGACACAACCGGCCTGGAACTGGGTGAACAGGATGTCCATCTGTGGCTGGCTGGTGACGGTGACAGCATGGCTGGGCGGGGACAGCTGGAGGCCGGCTTTCTGATCAGCAGCAGACAGCATCACCGTCAGAGTGTAGGACCCTACCATATGGGAGGCATAAACAGTATATCAATTTATAAGCAATTGGTCAGGCCTAGAAAAAAATGTTGTGTTTCTGGTTTCCTGACTGACCGTAACAAAAAACTGCCATCCCTACCCTAACATCATTTAACGCATTTCCACAAGCAATTCTTTCTTATATAATATTTGTATACAAGCAAACGGGTCCTTGAGACATACAATCCTGATGCATTGTTAAACTTTGTTGAATCAAATCTAAAATATAAAGTTTTTTAAAAAAGAGAATCCCTGTCTACTGTCCCTTAAGTTTCTTCATTACTGAAACTGGAAACACAACGTTAATTTTCATAGGCCTTAGGTGTGAAATGATCATATAGAAAACATTAGGTCATTAATTTCAGTTGAAAAATTTGACAGAAAATTGGCCAATGAAGTACCCCTTGGTGCCATGAAGCAAAAGGAGCCGTCCTGTTGTGTGGAAGCCTTGTTGACAGCTCCGGTTGTGGTGCTCTCCAGTTCCAGTGCCCACGCCCGGTCACGGCTAAAGCCATCCGGCAAGGCCACAACTTCCACACGGCCGCAAACCGCAAACTGAGATGCTACAATGTCCTGAAACTGAACACAGGAAACAAAATGTACAAGAGTTCCACGATTTCATACCTTCGCCAAATGATGTTAACCCTTGCGGTTAACGAATTATACAATTTTAATAATTGATTTCGCAAATAAGAGCGTCATTTGCATGGATTATATCAGTTGATCATATTCTCCACCCAATGGCAGCCTTATCTTAATAAAATAAGCTATTCTAGCACTTCCTCATAAATTATGCAAATAAGGTCATCATGTGAATAAATTATCTTCATTGATGTTCACCTTCACTTAACTTCCAAATGCGGCAAGTATGAAATTCCCAGCAATTACAACTATGAAATTATAACAATTTCCCATTAATTATGCAAATTAGGTCTTCATTTACATAATCTATATCCTCAGATGTTTTTCTAGTTTCAATTACATGTCACAAGTGTTTCATAGTCCTTTTATCGAACAAATCAGATTTATAGAACTTCCTCATTAATTATGCAAATTAACACCTGATTTGCATAATTGTCATCTGATTATGTCAAGCATCACTTCAGCTACCTACATACAAAAAATCATGACAATCCGTCAACCGGTTCTTGAGTTATCAACCTTCGGAGATTTTTCAAGAAACGCTCCTGCAGTTCCAGAACAAGCTGCTAGGGGGTCTAAACTCAGGTCACATCTTCCCTACCCCAAGAGCTATCTACCAATCAAAATTCGTGACCCTAGCATGTCTAGATCGCGAGATATCAAAACCGGAAGTTCTGCTGCAGTACCAAGAAAAGCCGCCAGGGGGCCCAAAATCTAATCATTTCTAGGTCTCATTAAGACCTACCCACATACCAAGTTTCATGACAATCCATATTAAGCTTCTTGACTTATGCTGTTCACAGACAGACAAACAGACAGACAGACAGACAAACGCTACTGAAAACATAACCTTCTTGGCGAAGGTAAAAATCAGGTATCATTGCAGCAATAACTATTGGTGCAATGGCCAACTGGGTACTAGTACATGTAATACAAAACATTAAAAATTCACCAATTCAAGGATCTTCTGAATCAGTCAGCTTCTGCAATTTTAGTTGTATTTTATGTATCTTCTTGATGTAACAACAATATGCTAATGTTGCAAACAGAAATGACATTAATGAAAATGTTTGCATCCTCACCTGCACGGTACGTGGAGTAACCTTCACTTCCAGAGGGGAGAAGACGTAGTGTTCCTTTTTGGCCAGGAGGGAGTAGACGCCTGTTTTCATGTTTTCCAGCTGGTAGATGCCGTCTCCGTCTGTTTTGAGGACATCTTTGCCATTGACTGCTATTGTCACATCATAGATACCTGCTCCCTGGGGAAAGATATTACACAATCGTCACAATACCATATTAAATGCGGATTGGTATTTTATTTTCTGTATTCTATTTTTATACATGTGCAAATAAATGAATAAACAAACAAACAAAACAAACAAACAATACCTCTGGCTCCTGCAAGACTTTCCCCCACACTGAGAAGCCGTTGATTGTAAAGGCCACCCCCAGTTGGACGCTACCGTGGTCAACAGTAACATCTAGCTGGGAGGGACTCACGTCAAACTGGGAAGAGCCATAGAATGGCACCTAGGAAAAGGATAGGGAAGGAAGCAAATTGATATGTATGAAAGTGTTCATGTTCTCTTATTTCTTAAATACTCTTGGTTATATTTTTGTTATGTCATGCATGGGCCGAAATGACATTTAATACCGGTGTTCCAGCCCGTATGATAACTTACGAGGTTTGATTTGATTACACAGTATCAGACGGGCTTCCAAACGTTCCATAGAATAATTTGAACATGTTTTGCCTGAACGGCATAATTATGGTGCTTTCAAACATTTGAATGCACGATTCGGACATTGGTATTGATGTTGCTGCATTTTCCTGTTCAGAGAGTGGGAATGGCAAGAGTGAATTACAATGTATTCTGCATCACCCTCGGTCCCTAGCACCTTGGGTGATCTGGAATACACCATTGTAGTATTCTATTCTATTCCGTTTAGTATTTAACAATAACAGAGAAGCTACTAGTACATGTAACTTTTTTGTGATGTGTATCACTTAAAATATTCATCAAAGCTCTGATCAGAATGGTATTATTTTTGTTGATTTTGCCCAAGACCATGTGCCTTACATGTATGTACCTTACATCTGCCACCACTATACAACCAGTGCCAGTGCCTATCAGTAACAACCAGTTCAAGAATGTAAGCCATACTCACAAGTTTATACTGTCCAGATGGTAGTGTGGGGAAGACAAACTTTCCTTGTTGGTCAGACTCCACCCAACACAGCACATGTAACCTGTCTGTCTCCCCGGGATAGCCTTTGGGACTGCCCTTGTTGCAACCATTCACCAGCTGCAACACAATAAATATTAATATACATGTATCATCAATGTTTACCTTCGCAGAGGGAAAACAATGATTGTTTTGCTCTGTTTCTTCTTCTCCTTCCCTTCCAAACACATACATGTAAGGTCTATGACATGGATCAAACATCTGCCACCATTAAATACGGACCCAGTGAGACTTGCTATTGTCACGTGGCTTCTCTGAAGTGTGATGCCAACACTGGGTCAAAGGGATCCGGTAAACAGTGTCTGTTTTAAGTGAGGTTTCATCAGGTCAGTTTACTGAAGAAGACCAGAGTGACTGGTTTAAAATTCTAGGTGAGAACCATTATTTTTTGTGTTGGAACAAAGGTTTTAACTTTAGACATGTAACTACTGACACATATGAACTTTCACGATAGCGGCTTTTGGTTGTGTATGTAGTACTAGTTCTCACCTCAGTTTCCGCAGTAGCAGAGTGGAGTATGAGGGTGATGCCTGCCATGCCCTGTCCCTCACTCTGTACCAGACCCCTCACGTCATACCCGATGATCCTCAGCTCTTCTGCCACGTTCACGTTGTCCTTCTCCAGAACCACATGGACGGACTTCTGCTCCAGGGTCCAGTCAGCGTGTTCCCCGGAAACCTCGTACTTCCCTGGCAGGATCTTGGAGAAGCTATACCTGAAATACACCACAAGACATGAAGACAAATTCAGTAAAAGTGTGAACTATACACAGTGTTCTAGCCAGCCTCTGTCATTTGACTAAGTTAGCCACTCATGATGGCCAAAATTTTTGCTCAATCTTTGACAGGAAAAAAATGGCATGGGAAGATAAATATGTACAAAGAGTGTAATTTTTCACTGAAGGAGATGTCAGTAAACTACTCAAGGTTAGTCTACCAGTAAAATTTGCCCCTTAAAAAGCAGTAAATTTCACAGGGTCGAGATATCACAAATTTTCCCGGGGAAGCATGCTCTCAGATCCCCTTATTTAAAGGATTGCGGTACATTCAGCACTTGACATGATGTTACATCAAACAAAATTGAGGTGACTGAAGAAAATCTAAGACTAGATATATTATAGCCATCAGGCAATGTGACCTACAGTCAGGCTGATTTGTTGGATGACATGCAATACACCATGTTTTATCCTATTTTTCCACCCCACCAGCCTTACTTCTCCCCCTCCCCCAGCCTTACCTCCCCCCCAGCCTTACCTGCCCCCCTGTGTGGTGACCGCTGTCTGTAGCACCTCAGCAGGATCATCAGAGTCCTCCAGCTGCAGGTTCACACTCACTCCCTCAGGACCATCATTACGGCCTGCACTCACCACCTACACAGTCAGGAAACACACATCCAAAAATAGCTTCATCAGGTTGGTAAGTCACAAACAAAGACTCTTTTTTGCGCAACCTACTGTAAGTCCAGTTATGTTCACGAATGCTTTATTTCACGAGATGGAGCAATTTGGGAGTTCACGAGGTCTCTGACTTCGCGAGTCGGTAATTTTTAACAAGGCGTTACATGTCTGCAAATTTACCGACAGTCAATAATTTTTTTTCCGCGTGAGGTACATGCGAGGTACACGCGGTTAGAACATGGTTCCGTGGACATGACACTGTCCAAACTGAAGCCCATCCATGCAAACTGGGTCCTGGGTGCACTGGACAGTATCGCCAACAACATGGGCATCGCCAGGGGATGGGACCGCACAGGGATCTGAGCCGCTGTGAGCCGACGGGCGCGTGAGTAAAAACAAAGCCGCCGCCATGTTTGAACTTTCGACTTGCAAATGTTGCCAACTTCTGCACAGTAGTCCTCGCGTAAATCATCTTTAGTTGTGAAATTTTAGCGCACTGTTCTATAAATTTGCTGTTTGGGAACGTTTAAAACCATGTTGATTCAACAAGTTGTAAAAAAAAATAAAAAAAATCAAGCAAACTTAGACCATTAGACAACGCGCTACGTAAACAAAGGCCGCCATGTTGGATTTCTTGTGATTTGGCGATCGGCTCGGCGGTTACTCGGCGGTAGATTTTTGTGCAATTCTTCCCTAAAAATACCTGTTAATGTTGTATATGTAGCGTAAATTTTCTTGGGATGTATGGAAATCTTGTTCAATGATTTTTTTTGCGTGTAGCTTTGGTGAGTAACGTTGAACTCGTGTAGTTTGATCCCTCGAGGTATAGACAAAGACCCACGCTATCCCGCTTGGTTCTATTTTTTTTTTTTCGATTTTCCGTACCGTAAATAATTCTGCTTTACGTGGCTTGTACACGACCACAACTTTTTACCGATGTATGTTGTAAAATTCCGTATGTACGATGTTGCACATGTTTACAGCTGTTCACCGCTACGTTATCGCCGAACTAGCGTTCTTGTTAAAACTGATGTTGTCTAGTCGGCTTTGTAAACTTTTACCGTTCTTCGCAAGAAACACTTGTATTACTAGTAACAAAATAATGACTCCGTAAACCAAATTATGCTCATTGAATAAAGTTTATTTGATTCTGAAAAGAAGTCTGCTGTTATTCGTTGAGTCTTGTCATTTACTAGTACTACGTAATGTAGAAGTTGTTAGTATAGAGTTGAGACGAACGATGTTTGGGGGAGGGGGGTGGTACGTACGGAATGGGTTCGCGAGGAGGTGAGTTCACGAGAAGAGCGTCTTCGTGAAAACCGTGAACTTAAAGATTTCGTAATCAAAAATGGACTTACAGTAATAAGTGTTTCTTTCAGCCGACATTTTGGTAACCTTCTGTCACCTTCCTCAGGGCAATTCTGACTGGTTCACATTGCACTGCAGCACAGGTGTTACTGTAATTGGTGCCTTCCCAAAGTGCAAAGTATGTACATATACATACTGTATGTACACATGTTACAGGTAACTGTATCTACAATGAGTGTAAGATGTGCACAATTGGCATTTATTGGCAAAGCAAACCAGTCAAATTTGCCCTGAGGAAGGTGACAGACTCTCAGCATCAACATCTTGAAGAGGTGATAGTCACCCGTTATGTCAATTATTCCACAAAAATGAAAAATCTTCTTTAAAAAAGTACTAGTACTAGTATATATTGTACCTTGCCAAATATGGAAAATCCAGCGAATTTGAAGTTGATGTCCTTGCCCAAACTGCACTGGTCAGTCTTGCCGTCGATGTGCAGCTGGACCTGTGTGGGCTCAAAGTTCCAGCCGGCCGGCGGCTCAATGTGGAGGGAGAAGTCTCCGTGTTCATACAGGGGAATCATGAAGTAGCCATTGTTGGGGGCACAGTCTGTCTGGTACTTCAGACTGCCTTGTGGCGTGTACAGTTTTATCTGCACAAGAAAAGAAAAACATCAGCAAACCATGCATGTGCATATAGTGTTTAAAAACATACAGTGTATAAAAACATGTTGCAATAAGCCACTTCAGAATTGATCAGGACAGGACATATGATAAGATAGAGACAATTCTGTAAGTTTAAGCACTGTTATGAAAAACATATTATGTAATTTTGTACTTTATCATGCTCTTATTCGCCCCCTGACCTCCCCCTTGAACACTTGGAAAGTGAAATATCAAGGTTTAATATAGGTAAAAAAAAGTGACACATAAAAGTGAAATCCAGAAAGATTTGCTATGATGATACAAAGTGCTACTGTGGTACATGTTATTGTATATATGAGATATGCATGCTAAGACTAAGAGGAGCAAGAATTGAATTCAAAAGGCACATAAAATGATTTCAGAGCAGTAAAACTACATTGTACATGCACTAGTAGTAAGTCCATGTGGCCATGTAGCAGACTTATATCTGTGACACAGAAATAAGGTTGCTTAGCGTGTTTTGTATGGTAGGCAGGTTCTAGATATTTACTGTTCAAACCAAAAAGTAAAGGGACTCCTCAAATAGCTTGTTGGGCTATGTCAAATGCTTCAAGTATGAAATGATATTAATTTCTTGGTTAACAGATTTGCCGCTTCATTTTTTTCTGATTTGCAAATAAAAACAAAAATTCAGAATCAACTGCACAATGCTCATATTTTGCCCTGAACAGTTGAAAACAGTCCTTTTCTTCCTTGTTGTTACAGTTATTCCATCTT